ATCCAACCCCCAATAAAATCAATGACGAATTACAGCATCCCAGCAGACGGCATAGCGCCAGGGGGTCGACTACAACATTTTCTCAAGAATTGGCAGTCGATTACAAAACACCCATGGCCATTGTCAGTGATACGAGAGGGTTATCAGATACCTTTGCTAAAAAAACCAACACCTTGGAGATTACGTCGTATAAAGCTAGACCAGATAGAACAATTGGCAGTGGACGAGGCAGTCAACAAATTTATCAAAGCGGGGATAATAGAGGTATCACCAACGCAGAACACAGATTATTTATCCAATTTCTTCACAATACAGGAAGCGACAAAACGTCGACCGATTTTGGATTGCCAAATGATCAACAACTATATCCAGTGTCATCACTTCAAGATGGAAGGGGTACCTGCATTGAGGGAAATCATCGAGAAAAACGATTTTATTTGCAAATTGGACCTAAAGGATGCTTATGTGGTCACCCCAATTCACCCAAACTCAAAGAAATACTTGACTTTCCAGAACAAAGGAGTTGTTTATCAGTACAAAACTCTAGCATTTGGGATGAGTGTCAGTCCCAGAGTATTCAGCAAAATGATGCGATTTGCAATAGAACCATTACGAATACAGGGAATACGCCTAGTATATTATTTAGACGACATATGTATTCTGGGTGCGACGAAGGAAGAGGCAACGAACCACACACAAATAGTACTGTCACATATGGAATCATTGGGTTTCCTAATAAATTTCCAGAAGAGTGTCCTAATCCCCTTTCAACAACAGGAATTCCTAGGCTTCAAATTCAATACGAAGACCATGCAGATAGCAGTCCCAGGGAAGAAGATCTCAAAACTCATGGTTCGAACCAAACAAGCTATAAAAGCCACACCTCACCAATACAATTGTCGATGGTATGCCAGTATGATGGGGAAGATGACTTCCATGATTCCAGCCATCGGAGAAGCCCTGTTACACATCAGATACATGCAGAGGGATCTCTCCCTAACACTCAACAGACATCTACAGAATTGGAATGCACCAATGACACTATCGGAGGACAGCAAGAAAGAACTGCAATGGTGGACAAGTTGGATGGTGAAGAAGAACGGCCTGCCAATAAAGAAATTAGCACCCAATCAACCGAAGGCGGCAACAATATATGTAGATGCGTCAGACCTAGGATGGGGTGTGAGCTCTGGCACGATGCAAACCACTGGAGCATGGACGAACGAAGAGAACACCATGTCAATCAATGCAAGGGAGCTGACAGCGATATATTTTGCTCTAAAACTACATGCCAAAGACTTCAAGAATCAACACATCAAAATATTTACAGACAACATGACTGCTTTGAAATACAGCAGCAAGTCGGGAGGCACAGCATCTCGAACACTACAGGACCTAGTAGTGAAGATACAAAATCTATGCAACCACTACAATCTCAAAGTCGAATACGAACACATACCAGGACTGGAGAATATTCGAGCAGATTGGCTGAGCAGACAGCATCACACCGCAACAAAAAACTTACTCTACGAGGCCCTATTACCGAAACGGCTATTTCGAATGATCAACCAGAGATGGGGTCCTTTAACAGTAGATGCATTTGCAGACAGGATGAACACCAAACTACCAATATTTTGGAGCATGCGACCAGATCCGGAGGCAGCAGCAACAGATGCTTTTCAACAAACGTGGAAAAAACAGGGAATGTACCTATTTCCTCCATGGAAGTTCATACCGCAAGTGATGCAGATAATAAAACAGCAACGAATCCAGAAGGCAGTATTAATCACACCGTATTGGCCAACCCAGTTCTGGTTCCCGTCCTTATTGCAAATGAAACACATCAACAAACCTCTGATGTTCAAGATAAGAAGATGGAAGATGACCGCATGGCACTTATCTGCAACAAGAGGAAAACCGCTGGTCACTTGGAAGAGGACACAGTGGAATTTTTGACACATGCCCAGAGACGTAAAACACAAAAGAACTATAATACTGGGTGGAAAAAATGGTCACAATGGTGCGCAGCACAACCAGTACCAATACAGCCTACCACATACGACGAAGCCAATGTATTACGTTTTTTGTTAGAAAATCGACACTTTTCATACCAATACCTAAATAGTTTGAGATCAGCTTTAGCATCTGTCTTTAAAGTGTTGCATCCAGAAAAGGGTCCGTTAGCTGCAAAAGAACCCATAGTTGAATTCTTTAAAGCAAAACGAAGATCAGAAGTCAACATTCCTACCAAGCAAAATCTCCAAATATGGGACACAAATATACTGGTGGACTATATCGCAAAAGAATGGCCAAAAAATCAATCTATCAACTTATATGAATTACAACAAAAAACAATTTTATTGTTATGCTTGACGACTATGGCAAGACCAAGATCAGATGTTGGCAGAGTGCAGTTTAGAGATGTACAAATGGAGCTTAGAAACGAAGAACCAGTGTCAGTTCTTATACATTTCAGAGAAGCGAAAGAGACTCAAGTGAAATCTGTTATACTAGGATTGGCAGATGACAATGACATGTGCCTTGTTTCCACACTTTTTGACTTTTTACAAAGGTCGAGCCATCTTCGCAATAACCTTCCTATAGACCATAGTTTGTTTTTGGCATTCATTCTCGAACCAGACAAGGTGAAATCCGCTAGTCCTTCTACTGTAGCTACATGGGTTTCAAAAGCAATGGAAAAAGCGGGTATTGACATTAGTTCTTACAAACCACACTCTATCAGGTCAGCTTCAAGCACCAAAGCAGTTGAAAATGGAATAACGATTTCGGAGGTCAAACAACATGCTAATTGGAGTCATAATTCCAATACATTTGAACGATATTACCTCAAGCCAAGCACGCAACTTAACGACAGCACCAGAATAGCAAACTCAATTGTTTCTATCAAAGGAAAAAATACCACATTGGAGTCCGAGTCGCAGTCAACAAGGATTGTTGAAGGAACGACCAACAATACGTCCGTTGACGAAGACGAGGATGAAAATGTGGTAACAACCCGACCCACATGGCTTTCTTGGCTACAAGAAACTTGGAAAAATTGATTCCAACTATCTTTTTATGTTTTACTTTTAATTCTATATTTATTTCATTCATGTTCCCCTCCCTTATATCAAAACCAATTGAGTTTTCTTCCGACTTTTGAAGGTATAAAGGGAAAAAGGGGATTCTAGTATATTTTTTATTTTTATTATTATTTTTTTATCTATAAAAGGAAAATAAAGCGCGGCTCTTGGAGCTTGTTACCACATTTTCATCCTCGTCTTCGTCAACGGACGTAATGGGCCACTTTTTTTTTGTAGCCCAACCTATTTTCTTCAGCTGTATTGTTATTATTATTATTATTTTCCCCTTTAAAATATATTGAAATATGAAAGTTACAAACAGTAATTTGATACGAAATAAGAAGACGACGACGACAATGTTCTCTCTATCAATTACTGATAGAGCTTTTATGGATTTTTGTCGTTGTCTATATCAAGCAAAGGCAGTGGTAAGAGAGCTTGAATCATTGAGTAATTTGGTCCTATACCGTCCTGTTATAAAACACCATTTGCCACCAAAGACAGTGACAATTCGAGTTAATAATTTAATTTTAAATCAAGTAAATCAATATCTAAATTCTGCTTTTCGTAAATTTACTCGTTTATGTCATATATTAATGGTTATATTGGCTCAGTTGGGGAACGCTGGACAAGTGAAGAAGGAACGTATTGATTCGTTTAGGGTCGAGATTTGGAAATAATGGAAGACAGCAACACAAATCAAGCAACAATTAGTTTGTTTTATTTCTAAGCAACTAAATGATCAAAAAAATAGAACTACTACTATTACTACTACTACTACTACTACTACTACTACTACAAGTGAAAGCATTAGCGTTTGTTTTACTACTACTGCAACTGCATCATCTACTTTGCTATCATAAGAAACAAAAACTAGGATATATATATATACATGTATGTTTTATATGCTAGATCTATTATTTGTTATATGTATGCCATATTGTCATAGAGAATATTATTTTTTTTTCTTTTATTTCCCCCGCACTAATATCCAATTATTCATCATTACGACAATTTGAAGTTTAAAAATATCTGGATTTTACCAAATAAAGAAAGCTTGAATTGTTGCTTTTTTTTTTTTTTTTTTTTTTTTTTTTTTTTTTTTTTGTATCCTGAAATTTTATATACTGATTATTCATGATCATTCCATATATGGGGAAACATACCACAAGCTGCTATTTTTTTTTTTATCGAGTAAATAAAATTAAATAATTATGCAATAATTATAAAAGTTCCATTTTTTTTTTTTTAAATTTACCATTTTATAAAAATGTATATTCATATGTAACCATTTATTTTCCCTGTTGTTCTTGTTCCCTAGTCGTCTTTTATTACCCTTAAAGTAGCTTGTCTATCTCTTTCTTCACAAACAGACAATTTCATTTGATAAAGAAGAAAATGTTATTTTGATAAAAATAAATAAATAAATCATCTGACTTAATTTGAATCATTGCAAAACAAAATTTCATATTATTTTTGAAGAATATAAAATGAACCAGTTTGATAGTCCGTATGCATTACAAAGTAGTAGTAGTAGTAGTAGTAGTAGTAGTAATGGAAACCATACCCTCAAATTACTACTACTACTACTACTAATAATAAATGACTTTTGGCAAATAGTGTTCCATATGAAACTATGTTAATGTATTCTCGTTTTATTCCTAAGAAATTCTTTCTATTTATTTTCAATCTATCTGTTTTCTGTACAACGCACATATAACTTGTTAATAATAATAATAAAAAAGAACGAAATCACTTGATCTTCTTTTCTTGATAAAGATTATAATAAAGGGCAATAAAGTAGTTCACTTATTTATAAATCCGGTTTATTAAAAAGCAAAGCAAAGCAAAACAAAACAATATGTATTCATATATAAATAAATACATATTTATATATAAATATATATTTTTTATATTATACGTATATATGCATATATGTATTTATAGAAACCAGTCTATAATACTACTACCATTACTACTAAGGATGACACCCATTAATAAACAGTTGACATGTGAAATCTAGATTCTTCGAAATCTTTAATTTGTTGATCATGAAGTCTATGATGACGAGCACCACTACGGATTCGAGTAGCATAAGTACTCACTACAGAAGCAAAATACACCTATATATTATTATAAAAGAGGAATTAGTATGTATATATATACATGTCTACTCATTTATTATTTACCTGTATAAATTGCATTATACCAACAATTACACCCCAAAGAATAATGATTAATTTAACGGAATGTTCACATTCTTCAGGTGAAGTTGCAAAAGCATTCATTGTATTTGGATATTTGACAGGTGTATAATAACTTCCTATTGATACACTAACTGGTCCAAGTCCATTTTGAGCATTGCCAATACTAACAATACCCGATCGAACACAAGCATTAATCATATTTTGACGGAAGACAATCATTAATACAAGTGAAATAAGGTATTTTATAAATGATAAAGTACAACAAATCCAGACAATTATACTAAAGAATCGAGCTGACTTTCTTTGTGCCTAACAATAAAAAGAAAAGAAAAAAGAAAAACAGGTTAGTTTCATAAGTGTATATTATTATTATTGTTTCCATACAAATAATGATCCAATAATACCAGAAAAGCCACCCACGAATACTAGAACAGTGAATAATAAATTTATATAATACCATGCTTTTGCTATTTGTCCTGAATATACAATAATGGCTAATATACATATTTATCAGTTAATAAAATAAAATAAAAATTTAACTCTAAAGAATATAATTAACCAACTTACAGTTCACTCCAAGGAATCCAGTAATAGCATCAAATAAGTAAGCAATCTACATGTATGAAATACATATTAATATCTTTTCATTTCCTTTATTCCTTCTGTTACATACAAAGAAATAAAGCGCAATAATAAATGTTCCTGTACGAAGTGGTATAAAACAACAGCATTTTTCTAAGGCCAATCCCATCTTTATATTATTAATATGTTATTAAAGGAGATAAAAAAAAAAAAAAAAAAGGAAAAAGAGAATAAAATGAATTAATAGTCAATTATTAGCGGACTTTATTACAGATGTATTTATAGGCAATACATCTAATTACCTTTAAACAATAATTTAATTTTTTAAAACCCCACAAGATATGAAAATTGCTTAGATTAGATCAAGAGTAAAGAAATTAAAAAAAAAAAAAAGTATAGCTATGCCACTATTATTGAGACAGAGGAAGAGGGAGAGAGAGAATTAATTAAGGAATTGTTAATATATTTTGTATGGTAGAAGAAAAGATAATAATCAAAGAATTATATAGATAACTTACTGGCTACTAACGGGAAGATATACGCAATTAATGTGTAGAGAGAGTGTATTAAAGAGATAGATAACTAGTAAATACACTAACTATGTTTTAATTAAAGAACATAGAAGGTCAACAAAGGGACAATGATATGAATAGTCAAAATTATGTCAGTTATTTTAATTTATTAGGAGCATTTCTATGCTGATCTTTTCTAGGTTATGGATTTAATTTGTTTTATATTTTTTTTTTTTTTTTTTTTTTTTTTTTTTTTTTTGAGGGCGGTGTTAATGAATGTATTTTAGGTTGACAGCTCTCGGTGAGTTGATGATAATCTCGACAACAGAGAAGATCTAGGTGTAGAATCTTGTAATAATTGAGGTAAAAGAGTATCTATTGGTAAGGTTAAAGAACGTAATAAATTGCGGTAAGTCTTTCATGTATGGATGGGGAGATTTAGCTGCACATAATATGACTTCAATGTACTTGAGCTGCAAACCGTCTTTCTAATATATTTTTTTTTTTTTTTTTTTTTTTTGTGTCAAGAAAGATAACACCTACACTGTTATTGCTGAGTGGATAATGATTGGTTAATGTAATACTTAGCTTATATATGTACTTGTCAAAATAATAATCTTCTACACATCTTCTTTTTTCTCCTTCTTTTAATAGTAATAGTAAAGTTTCTAGTGAAAAATACTTTGAAATGATGATAATACATGTTTTTTACTCTATCATCTGAGTTAAAATAATATACACATACACAGTTTGAATACTTGTAAAAAAAAAATGATTTTTTTTTTAACATTCACACATTCATAAAAAAAAAAAAAAACGAACACACATTAACATAATCAATATTCTGTGTCATAATTATTAGTATTTGGCTTCGAAATTAAATAATGTCACAAATTAAACTAAAACCAAAACGTAATCGCAAATTACCAAGAAGGGAGGTACTTGATACAGAGTTCATGACACCCGTGAATGCTCACATTATGGATGATCTCTTATTGATCCGTACACCCTCACACCATGATCGAGTTATTCTATCCGAACTTTGGAAACAAGATCAACCTGTTCATCTGTCTACATCGTCACATATTAGTATAAAAAAATCTGCAAACAACAAATCCATCGATGATCAAGTAGTTAATAGTCAGCCAAAAAATTTTAAGGAATTGATTAAACAAAAGAAAAAAAAGAGCGATGAGAATTGGCAGATGGATTTAAGTCACATCACCATTATACCACCTACAAAACAAGATATCCCTCCTCCAACTAAAAAAGCCGTGGTTTACATTGAACAATATACTGAAGATGATAAAAAAGAATCACCACTATTAAAACAACAAAATGACACGCTGCCTGATAAGATAGAGGATTCTGTTGAAAATACAACTAATATAAAGCAACATTTAGACGAGAAGGATGAATACGATGAAATAAAGGAAAATTCAGGAACTGATATAAACCAAACTGAATTAGCAAATGATGAACTTGCGATGGATACCGAGTATGATGCTAAAGAGTTTGAAACTACTGTACAGCAAGAAGCAAATAAAATGATTCAAGATAATAAGGATAAAGATAATTTATCCGTGAATACAAATAAAGTAAAAGATATGTGTTACCTGTCCGAAAATAAGGAGCAAGATGTAGTATTGGATAATAAAAATAATACAGACAAATTAGTTCAATTGTTAGATAACGAAAACAAAGGTGGAGAAGATACAAGTCAATTACGAGAAAACGGAAATAAAGATGGAAAAGAGATAAGTCAATTACGAGAAAACGGAAATAAAGATAGAGAAGATACAAGTCAATTACGAGAAAACGGAAATAAAGATGGAGAAGAGATAAGTCAATTACAAGAAAACGAAAATAAAGAAAAAGATCAATTATTAAAAAAGAAAAGTAAAGATATAGAACAAGCAGTAATAGATCATGACTCAATAATGAATACACAAGAAAAGGACCTAAAAGAAGTAATAACTGATAGTGGACATACAAAACAAATGAATAATATACTACAAGAAGCAACTCATTCAGACGATGATCATAGTGTAATAATAGAATCGAATTATTTTGAGACTGAACAAATAAATGATGAATGTATAACAAAACTAATTCCATTCAACGATGCTTTAACTAAAAATGTAAGCCAAGTTTTTAATGAAAAGTCAAATGAGCAAATAAGTGAATCTACCGCTATTTATGAAGAAAACTCTAATTGCATAGAGGAAAAAAAGTTAATAAAAGAAATGTTATTGTCCAGCACCTTGACGAATGAGTCCCTTCATAATGATGATGATACAGATCTATCTGTCTTTGACACAGATGGTAGTGTACATCAATTCGACCTTGACACTCATAATAAAGAAGAAGCATCCACAATACATCATATAAACTCAGATACCCCCTCTGTTATCATGAATGAAGATACCAAATTATTGTCACCTTCCAACTATAGTAATTTTTTAACCCGGGTATCTAATTTAGCAAATGACGACACTAGATTAAGCCCTGACATAATAAATAATAATAATCAAAAAAAAGAAGAAGAAGAGGAGGAGGAAGAAGAAGAAGCAATTTTATTATTTAATTGTAATGATGATAAAGAAGAAGAGAATAAACGCTATGAAGAAATATTTCGATTAATGTCACTACCAAGCTTAAAAAGAAAAGCGTCATCAGATTTAATCGTATTCTCTAGACATAAAAAGAAAAGAAAACAAAAAAGATTAAGTCTATTGAAGAAAACAAATGCATTAGATTGGATTATTAATGGAAAAGACACAGATAAAAGGAAGATAGGAATTGGTGAATTTAGAAGACGTCAGCTTAAAAATAAGCTTGAACAACCCTATATTATCAAGAAACGTATCAAAAACTGCTGGCTAATTGAATGACAAGATAAGAAGAAAGTGGCTTATATCAATAATACTCTATTTCTATCCAATCATCATAGATTTTCAGTTATGAGCAATAATAAATAATCCAATCATTATCATTTTTGTTATTTATGATCTACGATTTTTTTTTTTAAAAAAGGATATTACATCCTCCCCCCTTTTTTTTGTTTTTTTTCTTCTTCTTCTTTAAATTCCCATTTTAAATTTATTATTTAACTTCTTTATTATATTTATAATTATTTAGTTTAAAATGGTCGCCTTTTAATTCCCTTTTCTTCCCCTTTTTTGCGCTACTTTATTTGTTTAAATTATTATTTTTGTTAACCTTTGTTAAACTTGATTATTATTACTATTATTTTGTTAAAAATGTTTTTTGATTGTTATCGAAAAATGTTCACTTTTTTAAATCCTCAACCTTTCAAGCCATTCTTCTCATACACTACTGACGAACCTTCTACCTGCTCAAGAAAGAAAACTAATTTGAATTTCAACTATCCAGCTTAATATACATATATATATAATATAACATAAAGAAGCAAATATGACCTATTATCCTACTACTACTGCTACTACTACTGCTACTACTGCTACTACTGCTACTATATCAAACATGTACACACAAGAGAGTGGCCTTCCTACGCCTATCTCTCAAGAAGATCAGTTTACTTTAGCCCAAATTCTAAATACTCCTCTTAGTGATGATGCATCACCTTTATTAAAGGATTGGTTAATATTACCACAAGATCATCTTCTTAAAGATTCTACAGATACTTCTTTTCAGGATCTATTTCAATTATTACCTATTTCTCCTCCTTTAACAGCAAGTCCTACGACTACTGAAAATGAAAATGATATGATCTCTACAGAAGCTCTAGTGTCTCTCTTTCCTGATATCATGATGAATACTAATACAACAGAATTATCTTCACCACCAATGTCAACATCTATTCATACCACGAGTGTATCTCAACAACAACAACAACAACAATCACAGACTCGTCGTGTAGTACCTAAACCTGTTGCTATTCTACCTAAACCCAAGACAGCAACTACCACCACCACCACCACCACCACCCCTATTCCTATCGCTATCGCTCCAAGACCTGCTAGTATGGTAACATCATCACAACTTCCTTCGCCTTTGAAACGTAAAATAAATGAAACAGATGAAGCTGCACTTAAACGTCAAAAGAATACAGATGCTGCACGTAGATCCAGACTTAAGAAGTTGATCAAGATGGAGAATTTGGAAAAGCAAGTAAGTGAACTTGAGGGTGATAATGCCCGACTTACGACCCGTGTTGCCGTGCTTGAGTCGGAGAAAGGAGCTCTTATTGAAAAAGATAAAACGCTTGAAGAACGAATTCGAACGCTTGAAGCACAATTAGCTGAAGCCCACAGAGCCCTTACAGCAAAATGCAAAGACTAAATAAATATGTATACATGTATATTTATAAATATATATATACATGTATTCTCAAGAGAGATATATACACATATTTATATAGAATTCATTTTCAATTTTATTTAAATTATGAATAAATGACTATTAAAAAAAAAAAAAAAATACACTGCTACTATGAATAATCTAGATGAATATTACATAATTTATTGATTCCATTATACACATGTATATATATCCGTACACATGTAACATGTATGTTTATATACATTATTTATAATGTTGGATGAGTAGCTGTACTTGAACGAATCATTTCCTTTTTCTGTTCCAATGCTTGAATTAATTCAGAAGCATTTGCACAACGTGCATTAATTAAAGCTAAAGCAATATATTGTAGTCTGTCATTTACAGACAAATTAGGTAAAGAAGCTAAAGAATCCAAATATTCAGCGGCTTCAAGGTATTGATCCTTAAGACGATAATATTGCCAAAGGAAAGTAAGGGCGACTTCTTTATCTGCAACATAATGTTCAAAGAAAGGTATCAGATAAGGTGTATCTACTTTTAATAGTTCGTCCATTAATCCTCTTTCCAAATACCATTCATAGAGTTTATAATGGAAAAGTTTATCATCATTTCGAATCATAGTTTCAAATACTTGTTTTGCATACATAGTCGCGTTATCTACTGCAGGTTCTTTTTTGTTGGGATTGAAGATAAAGTCAGTTAAGGCATCAAAAATAAATTGATATGAATTAAGTCGAGCATACATAAGTGCTTCGCTTGTTTCATCATGTATGATGGTTGAAGTAGATCTAGCAGTTAAGGCTTCAAAGGCTAATATACCTTGTTGTTGAGGGTCTATCTTTTGAGCTCTTTCTAATGCTAATTCAATAATACCAATATGAAATGTTTGTTCTTTATAGACTTGACAAATACTTTCCATTTTCTGATCTGATATTTCATCTGCTGCTGCTTTGAAATGATGAAGAGATTCTTTTAATGATTCAATTCGTTCATAATCTGAATCATCTTTATAAGCGCGACGAATGAATTCAATTCCCTACAAACAGAGTCAATATGAACATTTCTATTTTTTTTTTTTTTTTTTTTTTTTTTTTTTTTTTTTTTTTTTTTTACTTTACTTTAAAAAAGGCAATATCAAATGGTCCAAAGAATGAGTTACAGTAAGTTTCCAAATGTCTACTAACAACATCAAATCCAATCTGACTACCACTCGATCCATATTTAACAATGGTTGCAATCACAAGTTCACGAATAGACTCTCTTCCTTCTAATGTTGTTAATATCACGTTCATATCTAAATCATAAATCTTGTTACTTTCTTCTTCTGATGTCGTTAAACTATTTTATAAATGAATATATATTTTTTTTTAGTTTTTTTGTTTTGTGTGTTTTTTTTTCTTTGTCCCTAACATGTTTATACTTTACTGTTGAGCTATAATATTTTGTACTTCTGAATCCAAAAGGAATTGAAAGAATGAAATGGCTTCAATACATTGTACAAGTAATAAATATAAATCATGTACAGATTTTTGTTCACTCTACAAGTCAGGTAAATAAAGAAAGAATGAACAAAAATAAATAAATGAATGAATGAATAACTTGGCTTTCACTTACTAATTCCAATGCTACCAAATTTCTATCTGTGGATTGAAATCTTTGATCAAAGATACTTGCAGAATCATGAAAATGAGCGTTTCTAATTTTTTTTTATATACAAGTAAATATATCAAATCATAAAATGAATTCTTTCAACTTCTTACACATCCATAAAATGCTTTAATCTTTGTAAATTCACTTTTGTGTTATCTAATAAACGTTGTAATTGAGAGCGATAAGCAATTGCTTGAATATCATTTCCACTATATATGCAAAATAATCATTATTTAATCATTCACGTTTTACATGTAAAGTTCAATTTTTTACCTATTCTTGAATAGCTTCATTTTCCAAATAGATGAAATAATACGCGAAAAATAAAGAAGGAAACCATTATGTTTACCACTATAACATATATCTGTTTGTCCAACGACTTGTCCTAAATGATTACCTCTCACTTGTGTTGCATTCTTTGCACTAGGTGCACCACCATATTCAAAAAATAATTGAGTTGCTCTTTGAACGATATCTAATTCATCACTGGCACAAATGATAGATAGACACATAGCACATGCTTCTCTTTTACCATATCTTTCAAAAAAGGAGATAATGTTCTTCAAGTTTTCGTCTGCCTGTACCATCCTCATACTACCACCACCATTGTTATGACTGATACGCGTTTTATCATTTGAAATAAGTTGATAAAGAATATCTACAGGTCGTAATTTAGTAAAGTAAGTAACAGAAAGGGATGATAAAACGATAAATTGTCGTGGTGGATTGGCTAATTGTTCAGTTATTTCTCGTAAATAATTCTTGCCTACTGTATTTGCATTTGCCTCAACTATACATTGAACTTTATCATCCAAGTTGATTATCATATCTGTTTCTAAATAATCAGACTTATTATAGTTCTGATAACCAGTCTATATACATACACACATAGATGTTAATCAATGAACAAATACATTACTAAAAAATAGTGTTAATAACTTACTGTTATCATATTAGATGTTCCTGTTGAAGTAGAAGTAGTTGCAGACATATTCTCGGGTAAACAAGTGACAGAAGTAATGTGAAGTTGATCTGTTAACTCATCTTTAGGGTTAACAGAGACACAAATACCACAATCATAATAGGTTTCAATATAGCTTGTTGGTAATTGTCCAGCTTCTTTATTCAAATCAGTTGTTGATGGTGGTACTCGAATATGTCCTAACTCTAATGTATTAGGAGGACCCGTCATGGTATAATTGGTATTAGTAGTAAAGCCACCCATACGGAAGGCATCTTTATAATGCGAGAAATATAAACGATATCCTTTAGTTGTCATTGCCATCAAATGAATACGTTTTGATTCTGCTACTGAAATAACGTGAATTGATTCAATTATAAAATCATTTGCGGTAACTATTCTAGATTGTTGGCGACATAATTGAATTGCGTTTTCAATAATATTTGTATGTTTAGCTACAGGTCTGTAATTATTATAAGCGTCACCCAGATAAACCACCTTGAATATAAAATAGTTTTTTAGTTTGACTTTTTTTTTTTCTTGCTAGTAGATTATGAAATAACTTACTTCAATAGATGATTTCTCTGATAACAAATATAATACTTTACGTTCATTATCAATAGCCATTGATTTAACAGGAGCTATATACATATATGAATCAATATAAAACTTCACATAATAATATATATACATATATAAACTTACGATGTGATTCAGGTTTAAGGAAATGAGGTGTAAATGATGGTATAAATCGTGAAATAAACAATTGTGTTCTACAAATCATTCTACATCTATTCCAATTTGAAGAATGCTAGAAAATAATAATAATGAGATTATGCCTCAAATAGTAAAACAATGGATGACTTTACATCATATTCTATCTCATATAATTCTCCATTGCGACCAATCATAAATATTCTTCCATCATCAGTACCGGTAATGTATTTCATTTGAACGTCATCAGCTGGCATGACCATTTGAAGTGAGTATACACCAATTGAATCTGAATTTTCCATTGTTAATTCTTGATTAATTTGAATTCCAAGAAGAATAACCTGAAGTGGTGTCGTAACTACTAAAACATAATCTAACTTTCTACCAAAAATATCTGGCAAACCTAATCATGAATTTATTTTAGTATTTATATATATATATATATATATATACTTTGTTCTATTCAAATTATTTACTAACCTGGCTTAGGCTTAACAAGTCCCACTTTTGTAATAATTTGATCTTGATCATCATATTCATAAATGTTGGTGCTAAGAAAAAATAAATAAGAGTGAAATGCGATGGTTAAGTTAAGAATTGCTTCCTTGTTCATTTTTTTTTTGTTAAATCCTTACTCATCTGTTAAACTCCAAAGAAACAATTTGTTATCGATAGTTATCCAAGCACGGTTAATTTCAGGGAATAAACCGATAAACAAACGACATTTTGCACCTACATAAATAATTGTAAATAAAATAAAAATAAAATCCTAAAAGGGATCTCTTTACCACTCAGTTTATCAATAAGACGTTGAGGTAAATGAAATTTATTTGATTGTACAAATTCTCCTATATTAGGAAATGCAGGTGAAATATATCCTTCAGAAGTTGGGCCTAAGGGCAGTAAATAAGTAAATAAGAATAAATAAATATGTATGCATGCATGTATGAAATACCTATTAATAAAGTAGCAAGATCAGGATATTGTTGATCATAACTAATGATCTGTTCCATAATCTTTGCAGTATTCATCAGGGCTTCATTTCTATTTACAGTTGGTGCTTTTATTGTATGAACAGGAGTAGTCATATTATTATTATTATTTTTTTAATTAAAAAAAATAGTATCTAAAAAAAAAAAAAAGACAGAGAGAGAGAAAGAGAAAGAAAGGTTGCTAGTATTCGTTATATAAGAATATAAAAGATGAAAAAAAAAAACCAGAAAAAAGAGATAAATTGTTACGTGTGCTTAAAGTTATTGTATGATGACAAAAGAAAAAAAAAAAAAATAGCAACGCGCGCATGCCAAAAATTATTGCAATAAAATAATGAAGGCAGTCACTTTCCTTTTATTTTTTATTTTTTTTTTTTGCATCACGGTCATCGTATTACATAATATCCAATGATTCATTCAGGGAAGTTACAGGGACATTATTTTATTTTCTTTCGTTTGGATATTTGTAATATGTCTATCATACTGTTAGAACTAAATAATAATGATAATAGACAGACTGAATATAAATGAATCATTTTACTGCTGGTATGTTATTTTTCAAAAAAAAAAAAATAGTGTACCATAAAGGCAAATGAATAATGTATATGATGATTAACTTGTACTTATGACCAAGGTTTTAGTACAAATTATTTTGAACTATTTATTCTTCTTCTTTTATTAAAAACTTGTAGATATTCACAGACAGATTTTGTTGAATAAATAAATAAAAAATAGCCATAAGCGTTTAAAATGAATTAAAGTCTTTTTATATGTTTATCAAACAAACTGATAATAGATAGTATTTATATGACGTGAATTATAGCTGATTATATTTGATAGCATGATAAATAACAGTATTTTCAATAAATCTTTATTACATTTATTATAGTTGACTTTATTTTATTTTATTTTATTTTCTTAGCATGTAAACTACTTAATAAAAGGAAGGTTACAAAAAAAAAAAAAAAAAAAAAAAAAAAAAAAAAGTAATATATTTTTTATATACAAATATAGTAGCCTTTTTTTTATCTTATCTATTTCAAATTTGAAGTTCCTGATAAGAAAAATAATTATTTTAGTTCGTTATCATGCTATTTATTTTACATTTCAATTAAACAAAAAAAAAAAAAGGTTTCTAATATGGGCCATCATAAAGCGGCTTCTTGCTCTGCCTTACCTTCAACTCTCATTGACAAAAAGACAATAAATCAAGGACAACAGCCATCATCAACTAACATGAAGAAACAAATTACAAACAAAAAACAACCATCTTTATTTCCTTCATTTTGCTTATATTCAAAACGGGCTCTTTTAAATGAATATGCGCCCGAATCTGAAATTATACAATATTTATGGCCTTCTTCAAATACGGAACTAAAAGAACTATTGCCTATGTTTGTAGGTGTCCTACAGTCTTTATTTACTGCTGTTAATGATTTACCTTTTATAGATGAAGACTCGTCAGAAGATGACAGTAGTACAGTAGAAGACTATTTAGATGATTCCCCTTTCACAATTGTTGGTTTAAATACTATGAAACTAGTTAACTGGAACAATATGCATGATCTTGTCACTGAGACTGCCAATTATAAAAATGATATATGCTTAATGATTATAGTCTCATCTCAATTAAAAGACTCAACTATTATGAAGCATATGCATTCCATACAACAAGATCCCAAGCTAGCACTGTCTTCGTCACTTGTAAGTAAACATGGATAGTATACAATTTTATAAACTTATATATTTGCTTTCTAGTTGACATCAGTACAATTGGGAAATTTATTAAATCCGTTAATCAATTACTGGTTTGATCATTAACAAACTTAATTTGGAATGTACATGTTGATAATAATTTACTTGAGTATAATAGACATTATAACATCTCTATTTATATGTGATGAACCTGTCTGTGTGTAATGTTCATTAGAAAAGAAAAATCAATAAATGGTATTAGATACCACTGTTTTTATCCAAAAAAAAATAAACAAATTAATTTAATGGCACAAGATATTTGTCTTAACAGAGTCGATTTAAGGAATGCCTTAAAAAGCTTAAAAGTGAATAATAAAGACAGTGATGGAGGAGCAAAGTCGATAAAGGATGGTTGAGATGATTCAGAATGGAAGAAGCTAGTTTACTATACTAAAAGAAATCATCTAAATTTATCTTTACTGCTATACAATACAACCCTAATAATAAAAGCTCATTCTCCCATGGTTGGCTTTCCTCCACCTTCTTGCCTTTATAACGAATTTAAAACACTCTGGCATACTTTTGTTGTACTCTAGACAATAACATTCTAATCTTTATGAGCTTTCGTCCATTTATTCCTATCCTCTCGCCTCGTTGACGTTAATGGTAATGCTGACTTCTTAATTCGAAAATCAAAATTAGCAGATTTCAAGAAATCTCTAATTTTTCCGGCAGAAATTGTCATACTCTTATTCATGAAGGCTTCTTTGTTGCTTTGGCTGCTGTTATAAAATGACCAGTGTAGAACGTTCTGATAATTAATTTTTTTCCAAGTACAGCCAAAATCTTTCTTGAACGACCAGCGTTTTTTTTTTGTAATTTCTAATGTCTCTAGCCCTTTGCAATTTGGTCAATTTTGCTGCACGAGAAATACTCCACCTTTTTGACAATGGATACATGAGACTCTTTAGCATGAAGTTTAGACAAAATATATCCATTTTGTTTATCACAAGGAATTAGACGCATATTGATAATAATAAGCTAATGAAATTGCATGTGAAAACTTGAATTGAAGTTTAAAATTAAGAGTGTAAAGTAAGATGAAAAATAGTAGAACTGTTTCGCTTAGCAGCTAATTAGTATTTTACAACAGAAAGAAAGAAAGAAAGAAAGAAAAAAAAAAAAAAAAAAAAAAAAAAACCTGCAGCACGCTGTTGGATAGAAAAAATCTATTGTCGTTTACTAGTGTAACTATTCTTCTTTTACATACATATTAACCAAGATAATTGTAAATAATAATAAAATATACCCATTTTGACATCTCTTTTCATTGAACAACTTTATACAAATGTCCTCTCAATATATACCATCACTGCAACAAGATGATAGTAATTCCAACGCAATTCAATGGGTAACAAATGAAATTCAAAAAGAAATACGCAACAATTCAAGAAAAAGACGACGTTCATCCACTAATGTAGAGATTCTATTACAACAAGCAGAACCACCAGAAAAAACAGTAAAATTGCAGCAAGGTAAATATATTTTAAAGAATACAAAAATAAGATTGAGATACTTAAGTGTATACATAGAACAACATACATCTGGGCCAAATATAAAAGAAATTTTATTAGCTTATACGAGAATATGGAATAACTTGGACTTAACAAAACCTATGGATGCAAGTTTAGAGCCATTTATTTGGAGTAAGATTAAGGAATATAGAAACCAACAAAGATAGTGCAGTATTCAAGATAATAATTTTACAGCCGTAGTATTATTTATCTGTTAGTCTTTTTCTTTTCTTTTTTGAAAGTGAATCACTCATTATTCTAGTTCAAATATATGCCATAATCCAAAATACTGTAATTATGAATATCTTTGAAAAAGTAAAGAGGATCTCAACAGAGTTTCGAACTTATAAATTCCACAGTTTTCTTTCCTTTTGGTTTAAAGTCTTCTATTGCACTAGACTTGTGCCTTCATTTATATTAAAATCAACTATTATTATTTCAATCTTTTGAAAGAATTTATTTATTCATCTATTCATTCTAATCTATATTCCTTGTACATCTATTTTTTTTTAATGACCCAAATTTGAGATATTTTGATATAATCAATCTCTTTTTGTTTAATTAGAATCTATTTTATTATGAATAAGAAGGTATTTAAAACGTATTTAGTCTGGCTATTATGTGCAAATAGATAGATTATATTTTAGGATATAAGTGACGAACAAAACAGGGCATAACAAGAAATGATACAAGCTTTGTTTGCTTGCAGTTAATTATTCTATTCAATAAAAATTGCTGTATATATTTTTCATATTTGTCTATTTTAACAATCATTATTTAATCTCAGCAAACGCTTAACTTGGTGTATCTTTAACATGCTTAGCACGCGTATTTTTCTATTTTAATTCATCACAATCTATTAATTCACCGCATGCAGAATAAAGTAAAGCATTACCATAATTAGCTTTAATTCATGTTAATGTTCATTATTATTATTATTATTTTCTCTTTTTTTTTTGCACATCTATAGACTGATGCAGAACCAGCAGTTGAGGTTGTCTTAGAACCCGAACACGAATTTCGATTTGAAGTTAATTTTAATAACAAAGTACAAATCAAACTAATTAAGGGTACAGCCGAGATCTTTGGTACAGAGTTAGCATCAGGTATCGTTTATAATTTTTCAGGACGGAAAGTAGCTGTCTATACTTGGCATGGTTGTACATTAGAAGTCAAAGGTCAATTTGCTGTTAAATACACTGTGAATGAAACACCCATGACAAGTTATCTTAATACTCATCTTGCTCTCGAACAGTTACGTGAAAAAGCACGAAAACAGCAGGATCAACGTGGTCCTCGTGTATTAGTAATTGGACCTCATGATGTTGGGAAAACATCTTTATGTAAAATATTAACCAGTTATTCACTTAAACAAGGTGGAAATCCTATTTACATTTCATTGGATACAACAGAGGTAAGAAAAAAAAAAAAAAAAAAAAAGAGTGTGATTATCCACTACCCATTCATCTTTTTGTTTTAATTTTTTTTTTTTTTTAAACATTGTCTCTTGATAGGGCTCAATTACAATGCCAGGCACAGTAACGGCAACTTGTATAAGTAATATTATGGATGTAGAAGAAGGATTTGGTTCTTCAGCAACAACAGCTGCTTCAATGGGATCTTCTACTATGCCTTTAGCTTATTATTATGGTTTTGAAAATCCTGTAGAGAATGTGAAATTATATAAACTTATTACTTCACGTCTTTCTGATACGGTGAAAAGACGAATGGTAGCTGATGAAGCATGTCGTACATCAGGTTTTATTATCGATACAGCAGGATTAATCGATCAAGTAGGTTATAATATTATTCAGCATGTCATTGAAGAATTTTCCGGTAACATAATAATAAACAAGGAGAGGAAGGAAAGGAAGGAGGGTTTTTTTATTCGTCTTCTTTACATATTAACATTTCTTCTTCCTACTTACCATATTATTATATTAGTAAATGTACTCATCGTATTAGGTAACGAAAGACTCTATAGTGACATGTCACGCATGTATGGTGATAAGGATGTTTCAGTCATCAAATTAACCAAATCAGGAGGAGTTGTTGAAAGAGATAAACAGTTCAAGACACTTTTACAAAGAGCTAAAATTCATGAATATTTCTATGGAACACCCAAACTTGAATTAGCACCCTATAGCATGCTGGTTCATTACGATGATATTAAGATTTGGAGAGTAGGTGATGTCATTGCTCCTTCAAGCGCATTACCCTTAGGAATGGAAGGATCATCGAATGAAACACAGGTTGTAAAAGTGGATAATTATGAAATATGTCTTCACTCCATTCTGGCAATATTGAATTTGAATGATGATCAAGATGAAAACAAGATATTAGAAAGTAATGTAGCAGGCTTTATTTATGTGTAAGTAATTTATTTATGAGAGATAAAGTGATATTTTTTAATTTTTTTTTTTTTTTTAATAGATCGGACGTTGATGAACAAAAAAGAAAAATTACAATTTTATCTCCATCACCAGGAAGATTACCAAAGAAACATCTCTTAATGGGTTCATTTAAATGGATGGAAGCTTAAAGAATGTATAAAAAAAAAAGGATGGGAGGAAAAATAAAATGTTTATGATCATCTATATTTTGTATATATGAATAAAAATAAAAGCTAAATGATATCAATGCAAATAATAATAATAATGTTAATAATTTTCCCAACCAACATGATCCAATTTTTCAACTTTGGTCATGACTTCATTTTCCATCTTTTTCATGTAATCTGACATTTTCTTTTGAATACCAGGAATAGATGCGCCTAGTATACGAATAGCAAGTAATGCTGCATTTGTACTATTATTGATAGCTACTGTTGCTACTGGGATACCACGAGGCATCTGCACAATACTGTGAAGAGAGTCTACACCATCTAAGGAACTACCCTTGACAGGTACACCAATAACAGGTAAAGATGTCATGGCAGCTACCATTCCTGGTAAATGGGCTGCACCACCTGCACCAGCGATGATCGCCATCAGACCACGTTCAGCAGCTGTCTCAGCATATTCCACCATTCTTAGAGGGGTACGATGAGCAGAAACGATTGAAAGTTCAAAGGGTATACCAAAGTCTTTTAATATTTGAGCTCCTACCTTCATCACAGGTAAATCACTATCAGACCCCATAATGATACCTATCAATGGTCTGAGTGTTAAAGGACGTTCAACGTCAGGCTCAATTTCCTTTAAGATAGGTTTTAAACTTTCTTGCACTTGCATCATCGATTCACCTACTAATGTAATATGACCCATCTTACGACCTGGTCGACATTCCTTTTTACCATATAAATGAACAGTTGCTCCAATATCAGAAAGCAAAGCAGCCTGACAGGGTCGATAACATGTTTCCATATCTGTGCTTGTGCCTAAAATATTGACCATGATAGAGGCAGGCACCTTCATTGCGGTTGAACCTAATGGCATATCCAGGATAGCACGCATATGATTTTCAAACTGAGAGGTCTCACAGGCTTCAATCGTATAATGACCCGAGTTGTGAGGACGAGGAGCGATCTCGTTCAATAAGATATGACCATCAGCCATGACAAACATCTCGACACCAAAGATACCAGCACCAGGAAATGTTTGAATAGCACGTTCAGCAATCGTTTGAGCCCTTTTAGCAATACGACCATCTATTTGAGCAGGAGCAATCACCAAATGACAAATACTATTTTTATGAATTGTTTCTACAACCGGATAGGAACGTACCTCGCCATTAGCACGACGAACAACCATCACAGCTAATTCCTTCACAAACGGAGCCCATTTTTCAGCATAAAGAGGTGTCCTTGACAGAGTCTCTAAGGCCCTCTTGGCATCCGTTTCTGATTTAACTACAAAATTTCCTTTCCCATCATAGGCCATCGTTTTTGATTTAAGCATAAAAGGATATCCCAATTGTTGACCTGCTCGTTGAATCGCCTCTTCTGAATTTTCTTGAGCCGTTGTTGATATTTCGAGATAAGGTGAAATAGGAATACCATGTGATTCTAAATGGCGTTTTTGTTGATATTTATCCTGGATTGTCTTGACAGTAAAAGCAGAAGGACAAATACGAAGACGACCTTCTCCTTCAAGCTTAGAAAGCACTTGAGCATCCACATGTTCAATTTCAACTGTTAAAACATCAACTTGAGAAGCTAATTGAGTAATTTTATTAGGATCGTTGAAAGCGCCTTCAATATGTGTTTGTGTAGATTCGATTTGTTTTGCAGGAGCGTCAGTTGGAACATCCAAAATAACGACTTGAAGGTTAAGACGAGAGGCTGCTTCGACCATCATACGGCCTAACTGACCACCTTAAAATAGTAAGTTAGTACTAAAGATTTTTATTTGCTTTTCTTTTTTTTTTTTTTTGGAGTAAGAGGTTACCACCCAGGATGCCAACTTTTTGACTGTTCATGATTATTTATTTTTTTTAAGAAAGCTAAAAGATCAGGAAAGAAAAAAAGAAAAGAAAGAAGAACAAAGAAAAAGAAAAGAAATGAAAAGAAAAGAAAAGAAATAGGAGCAAAGAAAAAAGAAAAGAAAAGAAAGAGAACGGATATGTACTTCAGATGTGGGGACGGAAAGGAGCTCTAAAGATGTTGGTGACTGTTAATCCAATGATGTGAGTAATTTGATGTTTAGTGAACTGCAGATATCAGAGATTTTGAAAAAAAAAAAAAAAAAGCTAATGTTATTGGTAAATTTTGCATAAAACAAATACCAGATAAATAGCTTCTTTAATAGCATTCATCTTTTATTTTGTATTATTTTTGTTTATATTTTCTATTTTTATTTTTATTTTGACTGATAATAATAAATGTATATAAATATATACAATTGCTTTATAAAATATATCTAGATTCAATTCCTTCATTAGAAATATAAAATGAGGAGTAATGTTGTCTTTTAAAAAGAAAAAAAAACCAAAGAAAAAAAAAAAGACTAATAAGATTCGAAAAATTGAATAGTTTTATTGAAACACTAATAGTTTCACTGTACATCGCTGTACGTTGGCTGTGCAGCAGGAGGTTTCGTATACGACGCACTGGGAAAATAATAATAAAAAAATTTAAACTCAAGTAGTAGTAGTGTGCCCCAAGAAGGCTTATTCCACCACAGGGTTACCCCCCTCCCCCCAAAAAAAAATTAGCTGACGGGCTTCTGTAGCTGCACCTGTTGCGCACGCGGTGCTCGTTCACACAGGAAAAAAAAAAAATATTATCATGTATACTTTTTTTCTTTTCCCTTTTCCCTTTTTCCTTTTTCCTTTTTTTATTTTCTTTTTTTTTTTTTTGTTCTTTTTTTAAACTTATTTTTTTTTATAAAATATAATGTCCAAAAGAGAAGAAAGAGTAAATTCAAGTAAACGTAAACTTTCCCCCTTTTTTTCTAAATTAATACGCGTTTTATTTAGGTTAAAAAGGTTATTGCCAATATCTCTCAAAATTTAACTGAGCTTGCGGAAATTTTACTTTCTGCTGAGCCTGTTGAAAGTGACCAAAAGAAAAAGCGTCCAAGAGATCCTAATGCGCCTAAGCAACCACCTTCCAATTTTTTCCTTTTTACAAACTCTATTCGGGAACAAGTTGATAAGGAAAACCCTGATGCTACGTTTGTTGAAAAGTCAAAGATTTATGGTGCTAGATGGCAACAACTAACTGAAGAAGAAAAGAAGGTGACAAAGCTATAGATATATATTACAAATAGAAATTTTGACTCACTTTTTAATCGTTGATAGCCTTTTACTGAAAAAGCAAAGAGAGAAAGAGAGAAATACCTTAAAGAAGTGGCCGCTTATGAAAAGGCACATCCTGAATTAGTACAACATTCAGAGAAGAAAGCTAAAACCAAGCCCGAAGCCAAAAAGGAAGTTCCTACTAAGGTTAAAAAAGAAGAAAACAAACAAGTTTTGAAAAATAACAAAAAGAATGTAAACATGGAATCGGACTCTAGTAGTTCTTCATCTGAAGATGAATCATCTGATTCTGATACAAATGAAATTGAGTCTGATTCTGAAAGTGATTAGAAAAAAAAAAAAAAGAACAAAATATTCAAAATTCGAAATAAATTATTATGATGATGATGTTTAAATTTTATTTTCTTATATAGTTCTCTACTCTTCAGTTTTGATACGTTTATTTGTATCTGTTTCTAAATTATTTTCTTGTACAGCAGACCTTTTCTTGATGTTATCATGATGACTATCATCTTCATCAGGAATTTCTGGCATTAAAAGTGAACCATCACCAGGATATTTATAAATAGATGGTCCATTAGCAGATGATGGAGTTGGCAATGATGATGAAAAACTACTTGTACTCTTATCATTTATACTTTGTTCGTACTAAAAATATACATACACTCATTTAGTGAATAAATGTATAATAAGAATCGAAAGTCATCCATGTTATTATACCTTATCTAAAGCTGGAATATCCATGGAATCTGAAATCATTTGAATAAATTCACCCATATTTTTTTCGAATGTTTGTAAAGGAAAACGTTGTGCTAATCTTTCAAAATGAGTTTGAAGATCAATTCCTTCTTCGATTATTAAAAACTATGTTAAAAAGTAAATAAAATTAGTATTCAAATTATATTGTTTATCTGCCTTGTGGATTGAAATTTTTACATCTTTTTCTCTTTCTCGTACTTGTGTCTTGAATAAATGCATAGTGCGAGTTTTAGGAAATAACAAATGGTGATCAGCAGCATGAATTCCCCATTCATCCAATTCTTCTTCTTCATATCCTTCCTCTTCTTCTTCTTCGTCATCTTCTTCTTCCCCTTCTTCATCGTCTTCTTCATGTTGATCTTCTTCAGGATCTTCATCTTCAACATCTCCATATGAAAATATTTCAAAAATAGGTTCAAGGCCAGACTGAGTATCGCATAAATAACTTTCAATGGCAGCCTGTGTTAAAAGCTCTAAAAATAAATCATACCAGCGTGGAGGCATACCGCCACCCATCACCTTTTGTCCTGCTACTGTCATTGGTTTTCCATCATCATGTCCATTCTCTAAAGCACGCCTTAATTTATCTGCACTTGTTCTTAAAAAAGTTGGAATCGCTTCAATCAAACCTGCAGGTGGTGGTGGAGGTGCGATAGATTCAAGATCTAATGTCTTAAATTCTTGTGAGGAACTAGATTCATCGTGCTCTTCTTCTAGTTTATGTAAACGATCCATAAAAAGTGCAGTGCTAGGTTTCTCTTTTAAATAAGGTGATCGACATGCATAGCAACTTTGAATACGATGACGACGACAGAAAGGTGGTAAAATAGGCTTAGAAAAAAGACGTTGGCGACGTTTTACATCACATGTAGGTTGTTGATCATCATCAATGTTGTCAATATCGACTAGATTAGATTCATGACGATGACGACGACGACGAGCTGATGAAGTTGCATGTGCAATAACATGTTGACGAGTTGATAAAGCATCAAAACGACCAAAGACAAGTGTTGTTAATTGACATAAATGTAATCTTTGCTCAAAATTAGAATCGACATGAAAAGAAGGAGTACGATTGCGATGACTTGAAAGAATTCCTATTCAATGATTATTAATATGTATATAAATGTATATATATTTTGTTTTCGTTAGTTGTTGTTTTGTTGCTGTTGTTTTACCGGCAATAATAGATTCAACGGCATGTTTATCTTGTTCTGCTTTAGAAGCACTCTCTTCCCATCGCTGTTTACGTTTTTCAATAGCATCGTTTTCTTTATTAGAAGGTAAAGGAGTAGACAATTCGAGTAACTCGACTCTCGCTTGTCGTAATCTTGATTGAATTGATAAATAAAGCAAATAATCCAAAATTATTTTATTAGTTGATTGTGTTGTTGTTGTTGTTGTTGTTGCTGTTACATTACGGTGCTCATCATTTGTTGTTAAAATCAAATTACTTGTTTTCATAACTTGTTGTAAAGAAAGAAAAAAAAAAAGGAGCGTAAATAGAGATAAGCCCGTTCTTACCTCAGTGTTTTACAATCAGTCTTTAAAACAAAATTATTTTTCCGAATTTGATGTATCAAGTCACGACATCATGCTGCTGGTGATTAAACACGGATAATTTAATAAGCCACAGTTATAAAGAAAGACTTGAATTTGTATTTGTTGATAGAAGAGGGCTACGTTCATAACTAGAATGCAACTCTATTTATTTATTTATTTATTTTATAAACATATATATATATATAAAATAGAGAGTGTATAAAGAATCGTGGATACAAGAACCAAAAGAAAGAAAGGAAGAAAGAAAACGCGTACCATTTATAAATAAGCTGCTGAGATCTATAATAATCATATATTTAATTGATCTCTTGATAATTGTTAATAAGGGCTATAAAATATCCCCTGGTACGACAGTGATTAGCGAGGATCATACGTTACACTTAATAGCTAATCCTAAAGTTTAATATGTTATACAACGTATAATCGTATCACATATATGATAATAGTAATTAAATCAAGGATAATGTAGTATTCTATATTCATTTATTTGCCTGAGACTCTAATTTATCATATAGTCAGTCAGCAATAGTAGTTATTTTATCTTTTATCGTCATATCAATGCTTACTTCAACCATAAGATTAGAGTTAGTTTTATTACTTACTAATGACTATTCAATTTGAGCATACACTACTGGGAATGATAACACGTTATTCTCAAGTATCTGTGATGTATTGAGTAGAAAAAAAAATAGTTATATGGAAATAATGTAACTTTAATAAAACAAATACTGCCAAAAATACAATACTGTTGTATTTTACGTACTACTGCTCTATTACAGTAATATTATCTACGTAAGAATATTAAGCTCTTCGTGATTTACAGTCAACTCAGTAATCCTATAGTAGTTTGAAACCTAATAACAAGCTTAATAACTTGGTATTATCTGAACCCATCTATTAGCTATATTTGACTGAAAGCAGCTTTCTTCTATTTTGTCTTTTAAAAAGAAAATAAGCCATATTAAGAATAAATTTAAATGGGTTATTTGTAAATATATCAGTATTAACTCATACTTAGAAGAGTATTCTGCCTACTACTTTTTTATGGTCTAAAATTTTCCTTACAAACATAATTCAATAATTGGTATTAAAAAGATACCGCTGTATATAGAATTGCATGTTATAATATCAAAATTTAATTAGCTATTATTACATATACCAACTGTAAAAATAAAGAATAGAGAAGAACCTTGAAAAATTCTATAAATTTCAAGTATACATCCATATAAAAAACAATTTTTTTTTAGACTTTCTTAAGCTGAAAATGAGATAGTCTTTATTTTTACTGCTGCGAGCACAAAATTACATATCCAGAGTCTTGTCTTACTTTAAACGGACGACTACTGGGACTATGTGTTTACACTTTATTATCAAAAAAAAAAAAAAAAAAAGGTAGACTCTTTTCCATTGTCTTAAATTATATTCATGTTAGCTTTTTAGCTTTTGTGATTTATTTCTTTCGATGAAACGTAACAAATGACTTGTCAAGGATATAATATAGCATTTAAGAGGATAAGAAACTATAAAATAGTCAATTATTAATTGTTTATTAGGTCCATATTTAACTCATGGTTTATTTCTCTTTCTCCCATTAAGCTCTATCTATTGATATCTATTTAATAGCTTGATTTAATATGTTCCTTATAATAATCCAAGACCCTATTATTATGCTAGTTTGTTTATTATTTTTTTTTATTAAACGTCTTTTCTCGTATCGTACATATATTACAACTGCTTTTTGATTGTATAAATGATGCTCAGTATAATCTTTACACTCCTTAAATCATTGATATTATTAATATATCTTACTTGTTTGTTCTTAATAATATTAAAAACAAGCATACGTTTTTTAGCGTCATGATTACAATAGGATTTATGAAGTTTAACCCCGCATTAAATTTTAACGTTACGTTGCTTGTATTTATTTTTTATTTTATTTTATTTTATTTTTTTTGTTTTTTTTTTGCTTTTTTTTTTTGTTTTTGTTTTCTTTTGTATATAAAACGAAAATGTTCCTTTCAGTGATGAAACAATATTGGCAAGTTAAAAGCAATTTTAACAGTATAGCTAAAATATCTACCATGAGGACAGTTAAGCCTCTTACATCAAAACAATTATTGAATTGGATAACGAACGATGAAAAGTCATCAGTTACTATTATTGATGTTCGAGAAAGAGATGAAATTGAAAAGTTCGGTAAAATTAAAGGCGCTATCAATGTTCCATTTAAATTAGAGCCTGCAATGTTTGCTGCAGGGTTATCTGATTTTAATAAAAATAACAAAGTATATTTATTGTGTTAAAATATATACTTACAAAAAAAAAAAGAAAAGAAAAAAGAAAAGCTTGTTCAATATTTACTCCGCATTATAGATTGTTTTTCAATGTATGTCGGGTCGTCGCAGTAATGAAGCTGCTCTTATTGCCGAGAAATTAGGATTTAAGGATGTTTATAACCTTGAAGGGGGAATTAAGGAATGGGCAGGTCCAATCCAACCGTTTATGAATAATCATTCACCCTGGGTTCATACCTTATTTGATATAGATACTGAAACAGCACAGTATGTAGTAACAGATTTAGGTATTGAAGTGTTGTATAACAGCCTATATATAAACTTACAAATTTGCTCATTCGTATAATAGAATCTAAAGAGGCATTCATTATTGATCCTGTTTTAAATTATGATCCATTTTCTTGCACTGTATCTCCTTTGTTAGCAAAATCTTTAATTTCGTTTATAGAAAAATATCAGTTAAATGTTACTAAAATTATTGACACCCATGTTCACGCAGTAAGTTGTATGCAATTTCATAAGATATATTTATTTCACTTTTGTATAAATATATATATATATATATATATTCACATGTATATAGGATCACTTGAGTGCTGCCTTTTTCTTGAAAAATCAATTACCGTCCAAGGTATGATATATATATATATATATATATATAAACATGTCTATAAAGCTAATTATTGTGTTTTTTATAGCCTGAGTTTTGGATTAGTGGAAAAATAACTGAAATTCAAGAAGTATTTAATCGAAAATATAATATAAATCAACAAGAATTAAAACCTACTGGAGAACAATTTGACAAACTAGTGTCGGAAGGTATGGAATGGAATCTGGGTAAAAACATAAATTGTAGTGTATTGTCTACACCAGGACATACCCCTGCTTGTATGTCATATCGTATAGGTGATGCTGCCTTCGTAGGTGATACTTTATTCATGGTAAAAAAAAATAGATACATATTTAATATTTTGAATATATACGTATATCTATATAAATATATGCTGATTCTACATTTGATAAGCCTGATATTGGAACTGCTCGTTGTGATTTCCCAGGTGGTAGTGCTGTAGAAATGTATCATAGTATTCATAAAATGTATAATAATTGGCCTGATGATACTAGAATTTTTGTAGGTCATGATTATCCTCCTGGAGATCGCCCAGTAAGTTTAATATACCTTTTTTTCCTTTCTTTTAAAACTTATTTCTTTCCCACCCTTTTCTAATACTATATTGCAGTATCAATCTGTAACTACATTAGAATATCATAAAAAATTCAACAAGATGATAAATGAAAAAGTTAGTTTGGAGGAGTATGTAAAGATGCGTAGTGAACGAGATTCAAAATTAAAAGCCCCTCGTTATATTCATCCTTCTATACAGGTACATATTTTTTTTTCTATAAGAAACAAAATAGGTATGATACATAATAACGTTTATAATTCATATAGACAAATTTAAGAGGTGGTGTTTTACCTGCACCTGAAACATCATTGTATGATAAAAAGGCTTCTCAACAATTCTTTAAAATTCCTGTTAAATGGGTATCAACCCATACATAGCGAGAAAAAAAAACATAACATATATTATATATGCGTGTTCATTTTACACACACACATGTATATACATATATAAATATAAAAATATGTATTTATATTTATATAAGATTTTAGCTAGTTTATAATTTTATTATACAAAATAAATAAAAAAAGGCTGCGGATAATATATATGCTTATAATTTTGTTTTTCTGGGAGTAAAAACTAAAGGATCTTTACAATAACTAACATGAATACCAGCGAAATTCTTCACGGGGTAAGGTCTTTTACCGTTGAGTGTGTTAACGTCAAAAGATTTTAAAATATAAACAAGTGTCATTGAAATTTCAAGAACAGCAAAGAAACGACCTATATAATATAAATAATTGTTAATAACAATACATATACATATATATAAGGTATGCCTATCTATTTTTACCTGGACAAATATGTTTACCCAAACCAAAACTAACAAAATCCTTAGAAGGTGTGGAACTTTGCTTATTCAAGGAAGCTTCAGGATCCATAGTGTCAACAGTAGATCTATTAGTAGAGCTACCAAAATTCATTTGACGCATTGTACAATCTATTGTAGTTCCCTTTGGGACTTGATAACCATTGTAAAAGGTATAGTCAACCATTGCTTTCTTACCATGTGCAACGAAACCAACACCTTGTCGAAGGACTTCACGAATAAAATTATTTAGGAATTTCATTTCTTGCATGATTTCCCAACTGAATGGTGTATCACCTGGTAGATATGTCTTGATTTCTTCTACAAGTCTTTCTTTCAAATCAGGTCGAGCAATCAACCAATAAATACAATAGCTAAGGTTTAACGTAGTTGTATGAACAGAGGCAAAGGCAATCGATAACACAGCCTCATAGAGACGCTTTTTAGAGAGATAGAGTGGCTCACCTGTGTTTTCATCAATACCTTCAGTATATTCCATCAAACTTTGTAATAAATTTTCGTCAAGTCCATGATCTTGTCCTGCTTCCTTTGCAATACGCATCTTAGCTTGACGATCATCAATCACCTTGGAGATATGTTTTTTCATTGTTTCTTTATGTTGAGAACCAGATTGAATAAATGGCTTAAAATAAGGATGAAGGAAATTAGGTATGATAGCCCAATATTTTATATTGCCAACAATATCATCTGTAAATTTAGCAAACGAATGAATCACTTCTTCATTTTCACCCACTTCCTTCCCAATCAAAGTTGGGACACCCATATAAGCTACAAGATTTTGAACAAAATGACTAGGATCCTTGACAATCGTTGGCTCATTTTGATTAAAGCACTTGTGAATAGCGGTCTTGAGACCTTTTTCAATACCTGGAATATAGTAAGGCATCTTTTTTTGTGAGATAGCCACTTTTGCTGCTGCAGGTAAAATAACTCGACTATCACTAAGGAATTGTTCATCCATAACATAGTGAAGATAAAGCATATCTAACAAAATAAAAAAATAAAAAGTAATCAGTATAACCCTTCTTTTTTATGAATACTTTTTTTTTTTTTTTTTTTTTGGTCTACAATTACCTTTAACATTTCCTTCTTCCATAGATAAATCATTAATTTCAGCTTTCATAAATTCTTCAGCACATTTACCATTTGTAACTGTAATATAACGACCGAGGACGCTAATATTATAGATTTCACCATAGTGTTTGTTGCACCAATCAATAAATTTATTAGGCATTAAGGTTAAATACAATGTATGACCCAAGAAAGGAAGACCATAGGGTATAGTAGGGGGCAACTTAAGCTTTTGACGTTTGGCCTTAATATACGCAGCTAAATTATACAAGCTGATGAAAGTAGCAGCACCAATAAAGATAAGTTCATTTCTTGAAGACCGTCTATAGAAATCCTCAAGCTTATGCGAGACTGTCATAGGTAAACATCGTTGTATGGTTTGGATAGCAGATTGAATAGGGGGTGAATTACCTAGGGTACTTAAATAATCCATTATTGTAAGAAGCCTTTTTTTTTTGAACTAGGAGGGGGAGGGTTAAAAAAATGTTATTTCTTTGGAGCAGTATTTATACTATGAAATTTAATATCATATTTTTTTTTAAAAAAAGGGGAATTCGGGCCGTATACTTTTTTTTTTCTTCTGGTAATATTAAAATAACCGAACCAATCTATTTTACTGATTTGAAATTTTATCCACTCAAAAATTGGATACAGGATTAAATATCATCGTCATGATTGTGTTACTAGTAGGAAAAAAAACCTATCTTGAAGAATTATAAGAATCACAGCACTAAACTTAATAGAAAACAATATATTAAACTAAATCCTTCATTCTAAGAAATGATAGGATAGCATTATTGTTAACAATAATCATAATTATACAAGTATTTTTTTTTTTAAAAAAAAGAAGTGTTGAATATTTAATAGTATATATATAAGTTTGTTAATAATATGCATTATAGCAATTTCACGCAAACATGTATAAAAAGGAGGAATCTATTTTCATATAGTATTTTCCGTAGTAATTGGTCTGGAGAGACGCTTAAATTTAAATATATCTGTATATGAACGCAAAAATAAATAAGATAAACTCATAACGAACTTTTATGCTGAAAACTCACCTTATTTAGTAACTCTACACTCTCCCAGTAATGAAAAAAAAAGTTTAAGAAAAAAGGCAGGAGCAGCAACAAAGACAATATTAATTTATAATAATGTTAACTTTATTATTATTAGAGAATATACAATAAGCGATCATAACAGTTGCTTAGATATATTCTTTGTTACTTACAATGATCTCAGTATTATACCTACACATGTTAACAAAGTGAATAATAGTTCCAAGTTTTAATTTTTATGTTTTATTCTTTTCCCACCTTCATATACATTATTAACCTAAGAAAAAATAAAACAATATTATAAATGACATCTCTGCATAAATGACCCTATTGTACTAGCCGACATTAGATAGTATAACACCACAGAATGAATGCCCTTTACCTTATATTACTTGCTAAACTCGTTCTGTAACTGGGCTTTATATTTTAATATTACAATTTACTAACTCTTTAAAAGAAAATTTTTGGCAATATTAGTGTAGCCCTAACGATAAGGATAAAAAAAACAACAAAATATATATACATGTATATATAGAAAAAAATTGCAATAACTAAACAAATACTGAATATTTAAAGAAAGTCATAAATTACTGTTATCTATATGTATACATTTTTTTTCTTTCAAATCCCATAACTAAAGTGGACCTTGTTTCATTACTATAGAGGTAATTAAGAGTATAAGTCAAAGCTTAATTCCTAATATACAACGTATATCCAATATAATAATAGATACTTGTATGAATTATTTTTGTCCTTATTAATTAAGTATATTCAAAATATAGCTTGATCTAACTCACATATACTATGCCAATAGTTACTGTTCTCATATACATATATATATATCTTAATTCGAGATAAGCCTTAATATTATTTAAAGAAAGTCAAATGAATTTAATTATATATTCTTATTATTAATAAACAGAGGTATATATCTATAATATTTCCAAGTTCTTATAGATAAGACCTTGTTTTTCTTTTATGAGGTGGTAAATGATGTGTATTAGCTATCTGAATGGTATTTCTAAATTGTATTGCACACGCCAAAACTATTTTTTTTTAAAAAAAAAGAAAGGCACATTATTAGAGAGACTGATTAGAGGTAATTGGAAATAAAGAGTAGTACAAAACATTTCTTATCTCATCTATAAGGCAATTACTTTTGCCCTATTTCATTTATTCTTTTTCAAGTACTGAGAGGAGAATGTGCTGATTGATGGGGCATGACTTAAAATAACTCCTGTTTTAGAGAGGTGACATTCCATAGCACCCATCTTCGGTCCCAAGTCATTGTTATGCACATTATATAAAATTGCCCTTATATACTTTTTAAAGTTTCAAATGAAGCAGAGCTATTCTATGTTAATATTAATGATCAAAAGTCTAAACTTTAATAATTATTTTAGTCTAGAAAAAGTAAAAATAGCGTCTGGACCTTGATCTCAACTCATAAAAAGAAAGAAAACAAGATAAGTCTTACTTTAGAAAGAACTAGTATATATTATTCTATGATAAATAACCTCAATGTATTGATTGGTAAGTTTGCATGAATTTTTACCGAGAATGAGTTTTTTATACAAAGTAACTCTCAATTTGGTATATAGAGTAGTAGTGGATATTTATGATTTTAAAAAGTTTACAATAAGAGCAATTCGATGTTAAATACACTACATATACAAGGCACTTTCAAGTAAGTATTCGCTTTTCAAATACATAATGGTTTTCAAGCATCAAAATAGTATATCCTTCTCTCTATTTATTGTAATCGTACATATTGTACGGTAATTTGTCATTATAATCACTACTTCTTTTTTTTATGTGTGTGTGTATTTTTTCAAATGTTAGCTTTTTTTTTTCTTCATTTAGATATTGATTTTTACGTACTCCATAGATTTATCATGTTACTACATACATACGTGAAACGATTTATTTTATTGTAAAAGTGGGTGTTTCATAAAGAAAAATATATTGGTAAGCTTTTATATTTTAATCACCGACCGGAATCTTCTATTGTCCGGAACTTTTTTCTATCATCGCTGCTACTTACCTCAACATCGACAGGCAATAAGGAAATGAAGAATCCAGGAAGATGTATGGATTCCTTCTTCATTAATAATATTAAAGTGAGTATCATCTACTTGATATCATCATACAGATGGATAAGGAAGACAATGGATAACTAATCAATTGTATTATTTTGGATGAATATGTAGTATGGCTGACTCTGCAACGGCCGGTGCTTCTCGTGGTATGTTGAAAAAAAAATGACATTTACATCTCGAAATTGATTCAGTTCATTAACGCTTGATTTGTTCTTTTTATTATTATTATTATTCCCTTATAGGACGTGGTGGTTTTGGACGTGGTCGTGGACGTGGCGGTGCCCGTGGACGTGGACGTCGTGGTGAAGACAAGAACGAATGGGTTCCTGTTACCAAGCTCGGTCGTCTCGTCAAAGCTGGTAAGATCAAGTCCATTGAAGAAATCTACTTGTTTTCTTTACCCATCAAGGAATATCAAATCGTCGATTATTTCCTTCCCAAATTGACCGATCAAGTTATGAAGATCATGCCTGTTCAAAAGCAAACTACTGCTGGTCAACGTACTCGTTTCAAGGCTTTCGTTGTCATTGGTGATGAAAACGGTCATGTTGGTTTGGGTGTTAAGTGTGCTAAGGAAGTTGCTACTGCCATTCGTGGTGGTATCATCCTTGCTAAGCTCTCCATTATCCCCGTTCGTCGTGGTTACTGGGGTACTAACCTTGGTGAGCCTCACACTGTTCCTTGTAAGGTCAGTGGTCGTTGTGGTTCCGTTATGGCTCGTTTGGTCCCTGCTCCTCGTGGTACTGGTATCGTTGCCTCTCCCACTGCTAAGCGTGTCCTTCAATTGGCTGGTATCACTGATTGTTATACCACCTCTCGTGGTTCCACTCGTACCCTCGGTAACTTTGTTAAAGCTACCTTCGCTGCCATTGGTAACACTTATGGTTTCTTGACTCCTGATCTTTGGGAAGAAACTGAATTCATTAAGGCTCCTTACCAAGAATTCTCTGACTTCCTTTCTCAGAAGCAAAGAAAGTAAATGATTAAATTTTTTTTTGTTTATTAAAAAGAAATAAATAGTGCTTTTTTTTAATAAGGAATGCCATTTGTTAATTTTTGGAAATAATCATATAAAACAGTGCGTTGATTAGCGAATGAATCTTTAATGCGCATCAACATAAAATTTGCAGCAGAACGCTCCGTCTTATCCAGTTGAAATCGTGTTTTCATTCGTTTCATAGTCATGCCATCTCCTTTAAAGCATGGCAGTCCTGACTGTAACATTAATGTCACAAGTTGCATAATTTCTTCTGCATAAGGCCTAGCTGCTAAATATGCCTTGACTACTAATTCTGAAAATTGTCGGAAGCCTTGTTCTTCAGAACCCCCTCCCATTACTTGAATCATTTCAGTTGTCAATTTGAATGGTGAACTTTCAAAGCCAATACCACCAGGTGCGATATCAAAGATAAACCCAAAATCAATGTGAATCATATGGCCTTCATCATCAATCATGATGTTACCATTATGTCGATCCTTAAATTGTAAAATATAAGATATGACCGAATAAGCTGCAACACTTTGTATAAAATTAATACGGGCTCGTTGGAAGTCAATTGTGCCATCTCCATAACGTGCTACAAAGTAATCATAAAGACTATTCACCTTTTCTCGTCCAAGTTGGTCGCGTGAAATAGCATTAGGAATTACGTCAATCACACCTCGCCCGGGGGCTGTGGCAACGACACGATAAGGGTAAACGTAGAGATCAAGACCAATACTTGTAAAGATAGACTTGAAGACTGCTATTAGCTGAAGTGCAAGCACATCCTGACGACAATCATCACCTACTTTAAAAATCGCTTCTTGCCAAATTGAGTATTTGGTAAGATTTTCCTTTTCAATCAAAAAGGTAGCCATAAAGGGCGCCTTAGCATGACTTTGAAGAGGACGTCCTGAAGATCGATCGATATCGATTACATAACCATCCGGGTTACTAGGTAAATAAACTCCTACATCTACTTTAATCTTTGCAAGTTCTTCATCAAGACGTTTCTGTAATAACAAATTAATTTAAACTTGGGCTTCTTTATGAACTTTCTCTCTCTCTCTCCTTTTCAATTTTTTTTTTCTTTTTTGTATTGTTTTACCTTTTGAAGAGGCCTTTTCTCGTTTTGACCATGTTTAATATATTCTTTCAAATATCCAGAAATGGCTGTGACCTCCCCAAAAAACTTGAACTCACGTTCATAAAATGTTTGATCTTCACCTGTCAAGTTATTTACAATCTTATCAATGATGCGTTCAAGTATTGGTTTGAGAGTATCAGGTTTTTGACATTCCTTATCAGCATCTACAAAGAAGTTAGCCTTCATGTTCCAAATGATTTGATGAGCAAATAGGGGTGAGGTTGCCGCTGTTTCCAAAATATAATCTTCTACATGTCCCAAAGGGTCATGACGAAGTGCCTGTACAATCTGTGGAATATAAAAAAAGACAGTATCAATTGAATGATGCTTAAGACTACGAACAGCATATTGCAATAGCAAAGGGTTAGTGTAGTTGGGAAGTAAATAAGTAACGGCTGTGATAGCGGGAACAGGAGCCCAATACTGCAAATATTTAAGATCAAGAGATTTCGTGTTTCCTTCACTCAACAAAATAGCAAGCGCTTCTGGACTCTCAATTACATCTAATGTGTTATTGGCAATGAGTCTATGAACTTCCTTTCGAATAATAGGTTGATATGCGAAACGAGCATCCATTTGAACTGTCAAAATGGGTGATACTATCCATGCAAATCGAATTATTTCTTTCCAAGTTTCCTAAAGCAAATAGAATAAAATAAGTCATGTTTATACTCTATTGGTTATTTGTGTGTTGTCTTACATCAGTGGCTATGGACTTTTCTGTTATATTATTGCTAAAACCAACTGTTGTACTGTTAGTAGTATTTAAAGGATTACACCAAACTGAAAGTCGTGTTAACTCATTTTCAATAAATAACAACAACAGTCTGTGCATATTTTTATGGTGTTTTAAAACATCTTCTTTTGTTTTATCTACAGTTAAAACAAAATAAACAAATGAATTTAAATCCAAGGGTGAAAAAAAAAAAGGTATACCTTTCAAGAGTATATAATGCCCTGCTGCAATCTTTGGGTTCGATCCTTTAATAGTTGTGCACGTAACAAGATAAGTTAACGATGGTCGATCATTTAAAAAGGCATAATAAACTTCTTTCATTATCTCAACTTCTTTTAAAGCTAAACTCTTATGGCCACCATAATGCCACTGAGGTGGTAATTCAAACCACGAAAATGCAGCACTATATACATATGATCTTAATTTGAATTCTGCAAGAGCTTCTAATTGTATCGATTGAAGCACTTTGAGTCCTAACTTGATCATTGAAAACCGCCCATAACGTGATAAACTATGACGACTCATTAATCCATATTCTCCTAACGTAGACATCAAAACACGTCTCACAAATAGAGTTACTAATTGTGAATTCTTGTGTCGTATCGAATAAAACCAACTAGTAAAGAATTTGATCCATATCACATGAGGGCTGAAGAGTGTTGTTGCTAGATGCTGTTGCTTGTCTCTTACCTGTTTATTAGGAGGTCCATATGTCATTTGGCACATAAATAGATTTTGTGGATCAAGACTTGTAGAAAACAATCCTTTACGATTACGTTGTGCCCAATTCCAAACATATATCATTTCAGTTATCAGTTTGTCTTCCAATTCGGGTCGCTTAACTAGTAACCAATTCCAAATGTTGACACCTATCTCAAGTGATTCAGGTGTAAATATGAGTACAGGTATACGAACAAGATGATGCACAATATCATATGCATTTGATATATTATTCATATAGATAGAAATTGCATAACTTGCAGACCGATGTAGTATACTATGTAAATAATCAATATCAATCGTTTGTTTCTTTTGAACATCATTTGACAGTTGTTGTAGATCATTCCAAACAAAGGGGAGTTGGTCTTGATGAAGGTAATCCATTAAATAATTCATACCACTGATTTCACCTGAATAAAATTGTCTTGATTTGAAATTTTCAATAAAATTGGAGGATGAATCGGGCATAATAGAAGATAGCCCAGGGATAATACTGCTAGAGAATCCATTCTTTCTGCCCATTTCCAATGCTAGTGTCCGACCTATATGTGGACCAATTTCTGTGTTAATTTTTGCAAGATAGTCTTGAAGTAATCCAGAGACTTCGATCGGAGCCCGTGTAAGACTAGCCTGAATCCATTTACGTGCACTTTCATAAAGCTTTGTAAAAACTTCTTTACGATACAGATACGAATCACTCAACTCAATCGTTATATTAACAAGTGATGAAGTAAAATGAAATTTAGGAGAATACTAATAAAAAGTATAAATACACACAAATAGATACAAAAGGAAGCCACTCCCTCCCCCCCTCTTTTTTTTTTTCCTACCTCATCATAATATTCTGCTTCACAACTTAACCACATCAATTGTATCAATTCTAATAATAAAGTTACTAAATAATCTTCTGTAAATGCCTGAGGAAAAGCACTTATGATGCGATCCATAGTCTTGATAGCCATTGTGTGTACCTTTTGGCGTGAATGACAACAAAACTTTAATAGACTTGCTATTTGATTATCCAAGCCTTCAGCTAATTGCTGATGCTGTGCTTTAACAGAGGCATCCTTGATAAAAGCACGTACTACATGTTCTGAAATGGTGTCCAATAATTCTGTCATTAACAACGATACGTGATTAAAATAGCCTAAATGGAAAGCACAGTCTCCACCGCGACTACGTAGCATCTCAACATGATAAACTGTTAAAGCAAATGTAACTTGCGCACTAGACAAATTCTTGAGGTCCTGTGTAGGTAAATAAGTAGAAAGCTTTTGTCGTAATGAAGAAGCCAAATGAGTATTGCTCTGAAGACCACATAAAACGGAGTTATGCTCAAGCTCTGTTTCAAAATAATGTGTTGTACCTTCAAGCATCAGTATAGGTGTCTTTTGTGCGATCTGGAGCATAGCAGAATTCCATTCACGAATCCACATTGATTCTGTTACAAAACCAAAAAGGACGCAATGGAACCATAGATTGCGGAAGAGTGGAGTCATATTATTAGACTTGTCATGTTGCGGCTTAAAATCAGTATGTTCCAGGAGAGCACTAATGATAGGTAAAAGGTTACCGAGTCTTTTTGTAATTGGATAATCATGTTCCTTTTTGTTTTTGATTAAGGATCGTTGAATCGTATTAGCAGTTTCAATGAATAAAGTTAAAAGGTTATGAAGATAAAGCGAATAATATTCTAGTTGTTCCTTTAAGCGTTTTGCTAAGCTTAATTGTGCGGATAAAATCTTTTATATATACATATACATATATATATATGTTAGATATTGCTATCATGATACAATTTTGATATACTTACTGAAGTGTTTATTAAGTTGTCTTCATTATAAAGAGATTCATGACTGTATGTAGCAAGATAATTAATAATATCAATAAATGTCTGCTTTGGACTCATAAGAGCAAGATCTACTAATTGCATGATTAATGAAGCTGTTGCTGCTGCTGAAAATGTTTTATGACGAAGAACAATCATAGAAAAGGCTTGAGAGGTAGTCTAGAAAATTACAAAATTACATTAATGATATCATTGATAAAGTAAATTTAAAATTGATGTTCTTACATAATTATCTTTTAACTTGATAGCGATTCCAATAACCGAAGACAAAACATTGACACATACTTGCTCCTTTTGTTCGTCATTTAACTCTTCAAATTTAAAGAAATCTTGAAAATTATCATCTAATTTACCAGGTATATAGTTTATACGAGGGTCCTCTTCACCACTGTTTGTATAACGAGCCGTTTTATTTAATAGAGTGTGGATAGTAAATGTGATTGTTTGAGATAACTGAGACGCTGGTTTAATCTATGATATACAAGTCTATAAATAACCGAGGAGTAAGACAATAAATAATTAATAATTACATGTATACATTGAGCTAATCGAGCAATAGCATATTGTTGTACATTTGTCAGTCCTATCTCTCCTTCTATCTGATATTCAAATACATGCAAAGGTGCGGCTAAAAACTGGCAAATTATATTAATCATTGGTAAGCTCAAGCGAGTAAAACTAAAAAGCATGCATAAAAATATAAATATCAAAATTAAATGTGCATATATATTTATATACATTAAACTTACTTTATGGCCAGCAATGCACTTGCGTCTAAAGAAGCAATATGAATCGAAGGATCCGACACATGAGGCATATTAAATAGGCTCTCATTAATATATTCGATAAAAGTATCATCTACTTCTTGCAAATAAGTAGTAATTAAAGATAAAATGTGCTATGAATTTATAAGTTATATAAATATATATGTGTATATAAATATGTATATTTATTGCTAAAATATTTGTAATTTTTCTTACCAGGCTTATACTCATAATTTCTTGCATATAAGCATCAACAACCCATGATTTTTCTTCTTGACAATATTTACGAATCTCATTTAGATGATCTAAACTTATTTCGCAAACATGCTTCAAGCATTTTTCAAGATCTTCTTCAATATCATTTATTGCCGTTATAGGTTGCTGTAACAGTAGATTCCAACAATTTTTTTCAGTTATTAAATGAAATTTTGAAAGCTTTTTAATATCCAAAGCGGGATATATTTCTGTTTTTTCGTTATTATTAGTAAGAATTCGAAATAAAATATTTCGAAATATAACCAAAAGATCAAGAATAAATTTGTTGCTACTTAGGGGAATACCATCTTGCAAATAGCGAGCTAATACACAACGACTATAAGCCGACTCTTCTGCATCACGAAGACAGCTTGTGATTGAAACTTGAATTAGATCCAACGTATCATCACGAATCAAGACTTTAGTATTTTCATATAATGACAAAAATTGATCAGTTCTATAAAGATAAGGCGATAATTGAAGAGCTCTGAGAAAACCTGCTAATGAAGGTAAAATGAAAGTAACGGTAAACTCAACTACAACACAGAGCATAAAATGAGATACTCTATAGATAGAAACATACATTCATACATATGCATATTTATATATTTACCATTTTCATACATAATCTGAATAATAAATTTAACATAACGCCATAATGTTTGGATAATTTGATCGTAAACCTCAGGGCATTGATCAGCTATTTTTAATAGACCAGCTACTAAACTATAAGTAATCATATCTGATGGTGGAGGTCCCTTTTTCAAGATAATAGGCTCCCATTGATATGCAGGTAAGTGTCTAATATAAGCCAACAGCCGTGGCATGAGCAATAGTTGACTTTCCTTACTAGCTCTTACAGTATATTGTACTAAAGCATTTATCGTTTGTTGACCTTTTTGTGTCTACAAATGATAAAAAAAAAAAAAAATTATTGGCAGATATTAACTTTTTTTTTTTTAACTTTTTAATTTTACCATTCGACCTAACTCAGGGGCATCATATCTAGTAAGAATATCTATCCCATTATCAATTGGAACATCAGGACATCTATTAATTAATTTATCTAATTCATCTGTAGTTGACTTTGCTCGAGAATCAGCCAAAATTTCTGCTAGCTCTAACAAGATTGTAGAATGTAAATCGAGATGAAGTCTACATATATTATATTGGTAACTAAAAAATATACATGTATACATATATATATTACGTAATGAATATATTTATTTACTCGTTCATGTTTTGTTATATCGATATATGTGATAAATAAAAATAAAATAAAATAAAATAAAAGATGCAAATACTTTTATTTCATATAAGGCTAAAATATAATAAAAACTTTGTTACATTAAACACAAACACAAGGGAAAAAAATCATCTTTTTTCATCTTTTTTAGGTAATTTCATAACGTGTCTGAGCAAACAACCAACATATGAACTTTACACGCTAAGTTAAAATCATTTTCATATTTTCATAGTACATAAGCATTGGGTTCTCACCACTCCTTGTTCTTGTTCTCTCTACATCACCATATCTTTCACAGAAATCACGATGCGTCAAGACTTTAACTAATTTATCATTTCCTGCTCTTGTTCCACGACAGACCAGCAAATACATGTCTCTTAAAAGTTCAAAATTTGTTGGGAAGAAGATATCAAACCATCCTGGCTGAACCATATATGTTGAACAGGGAACCATTGTACCTCTATATCGAGTTTGCACCACGGGCCCATCCACACCTTCTACTGCATCTGGTAAATAAGAGAAATCAGAAAGGACTAAGCGATGCTGGGGGAAATAGTTTTTAAGAGTTTCCAGCAACAAAAATAATTTTGTGGGAATAAATTCTCTAGATGTCATGTTAGGTGCTAAAGGCAGTGATTGTAAACATTTTAACCAAAGTTGTTTTGAGAGTACAGGTGAACGGTAGCGTGTTTGATCTCGCACAGCAAGATATCTATTAATCAATCCATCATTGCCTACAGGCTCATATATTTCAGTATAATCACCTTTTGCATCTGTACTCACAAGTGCTTGATAAGGTTTTAATGTGTCCATATCATAACGAATTATATCATGAGCAAAATTATCCTATGGGTTATAAAAATCAGTTTTTTTTTTTTTTTTTTTTTTTTTTTTTTTTTTTGTAAAGGTAGTTATAAAACTTACAATTACTTCCATGCCTAAAACAAAGCATTGATCCGGTACATGAATATTCCAGTCAAATATACTTTTATTGATAATTTTAACACATTTATGTTGATCTTTAGCATCTCTAACATCTTGTCTTTCAGATTGTCGCTCTGCTAATTTTCCAGAAATTTCAATAATATTATACTGAACCCTTTTATAGATAGCAGGTTCATTTTGCTGAATATAATCCAAAATATTTAGCATTAAAGTACCATTACCAGCACCCATTTCATAAATAATTAAATCCTTATGAGGAAATAAGTTTAACTTGTATTCTGATACAAGATATTTAGCAACGGCATAACCATACCAGGGCTAATGTATAATAAATATAGAAAATAATAATAATAATAAAAAGATTGTAATTAGACATGTTCACACATAAAAATATTTACTTGATAAATACCTTAAATAATTCAGTTGGCGTATGCCATACTTGTCTTGCTACTTCATCCACTTCATCGGCTTCATTTTCAATGTCCTTATATAATTGACCTAAAATATTCATAAACTCCAAGTGGTCTCTCATAGCATTGAAATCAAAATCTGTTTCAGGAGAGAAAATGACGGCTTGTTTTGAGAAATAACCATAATTAGGATTATAAAGGGAATCATCAATGAAATCACGCACTAGCATCTTTGTGCATGTTGGTGGTGTTTTACGTTTTGCAATCTGATAAGAATTGACACGAGGATAATGACGTCTAGCTTTCTCTTCTACTATTTCTTCAGAGGTAGGTGTAAAAAAAGGGGAAAAGATACCCGAGCGAGCAGTTGCCTCTGATTGTAGGGATTTATTATGTTGAAAACGAGCAACAACAAGTCGAGATGATTTAAGCGCATGTGAAGAATATAAAAAACATTGATTCTTTGTTAATATCTGCTTCTGTATTCTCAGCATATCACCTTCCCCCTTATTATTATTATTATTATTGTTTAAAAATAAATAAATAAACACTTTTCTGAATCATTACATTTTGTGTATTTAACAATATCCCCTCCCCCAGGGCTATTTTTAAAAAAAAAAAAAAAAAATAGAGAGAGAGGAAGCATTTTTTTTAATTATTTTTTGCAAGAAAAGGCCAATTAAAAGACTTTTATTTATCTTTCGAGCCGGACTCTTCTTTAAGCATTCCTATGCTTCTCCCTCCCCCCCTCACCTTTTTTTTTTTCCTGAATGAATTTTATATTATCTGGTTAACGCTTACTCTTCATTAGAATAATGATAAGCAAAATTATTAGACCATTTATAATTGACTATTTCATTTTAAACATGCTTAATAAGAGGATGGCCTTTATTAAGTATATCAATTACAATTCGTTTTTTTTTTCATGGATATTCTAAAATTAGTGAGACACCTCTATGACAGTGTATGTCGTAAGGAAGAGTAGTCTTGATTAACTTTGCATTTCATTTTGAGGAACTGTAATGTTTTGAAGAATATTTTGATCAGAAGTAATCTGATAAGATAGGAGATATTTTTAAAAGCGTAAAAGCTAAGGATAAAAAGAGATGAATACCCAGCTACAATATTGAGAAGTAGCTTGAGATTTAATTATTTATTTTTTTTTTTAAACTTAAATATGCATTTTTTTTAAAACTTACAAAACTAACGAATAGTAAAGGATAAACATTAGACTATTTCACTATCTTATCTTTGTAAAATGTGATAAATGCTGTATAGTAAATGCCTTTATATTAATTCTTCAGTGATTAGTGTAAGGAGTTGTTATTTTTTTTTCCCTTTTACTGAAAATTGTATCCATTTATCCAAATAACTATATGAATTTGATTATATAACTTGACTTTAACAAGATTCTATTCTCGCCTTATCTTTTCATTGCGCGGAGATAAGGCTTGATACGAGTGTCAATTATACAGACTCTTGTTGATTCAGATAAGTAAAAGGTAAACTTAAAATTTATTACATATTGTATACTAGATATGATCTTCAGTGGGAAATAGACAAGTCATATTTAGATGTCACTATGATGATTGAGTATAATCCATAGTTCATTTGGCTGTAATACATATAGAAATGATAGAGAATATATTAAACAAGAATTGTATGGTTTTGATTAAACATACATAATGTCATTTAAAGAGTCTATTATACTTTTTTTTTTATTTTTATTATGGATAGAATTCGTATTCTTTTCACTGGACTAGGTTTAATAGTAATTTTAAATGAAGGGAAAAAAAAAATTTGTGATGCGCAACTCTATTGTGAAAAAAAAAATCAATATTAGTGTTTCAGCTCTTATATATAAATACATGTATATGAATACAAAAAATTTGTGCATAAAAACTTGAATCTTTTCTTTCTTTTTCTTTCTTTTATCTAGTTTAATATCATGAAAGCATGTGTTTGTATAGATTATTTATCTCATGAATGGTCTTCTACAGATTTGATTCAAGCATACCGAGAATTAAAAGTACAGAGGTCAAATCTATTATTTAAAACTAATATAGCATCATGCAATACATGTATAAAGACTAAGGAATTAAGAAAGTTGTCGAATGAACGTATTCGACAGATTCGATATGAAAATACAGTTTGGAGACAAATGGCAAGAATATGTACAAGAAACTTGAGCTATTCTAATCCATTAATAAATCCTTCTAGTGTTAACTGGTAAAAAAAAAAAAAGTGATCTATTAAATACATAATTTGATATTAAACGATCGTCTGAATAGGCAAAAAGAAGCAGACATAACTTGTAAATAGACTACATACACCTAATGATACATATTAGCTTCTTATATAACATATATCTATTTAGGGTTATATGGTCCTTTATTTTTACCTAATGATGACTTATCATCTGATTCTCACCAACATAATAAAAAATTAAGAATAAATACACATCCATCCTTACTAACCTCATTCACTACAACTGGGAATAATGTTAATAAAAAACAACTCATTCTTAAATCGGTATTAAAAATAATAATGTGAAGAAACAACCATTGCTGTTTTTACAACCCGAGAAATATAACGTTTCAAAGAGTCAACAAAAACAAACAGTTCGTTTTGATCCAGAGGCTAAACAAATTTATTATTTGCCAAATTCACCAGTAAAAGAAACATTAAATTACCATCATAGCTATTATTTTAGTGATAAAGAAGAAGAAGAAGAAGAAGAGGAAGAAGATGATAACTTATGGGAATTATTGGTATTCATTGCATCTTATTTAAAGAAGAGATGTATCAATTTTTATTTAATAATCATCTTCTTGTCGTTACAATACAATAAGAAACAAAATACTGACCGTAATAGTAATAACAACAATAAACTGATAAAGGTTCATCAACATCATCGACAACTTATAAATTACTTTCATCATATGAAACTCGTACAGTTTTGTGTCTTGGTTATATCATATGCAGCCTGGTTGTTGTATCAAACAATTTTATCTATTCGTACAACTGTGAATATTCGTATAACATCTGCTGCTGTTTCTCATACAAAAAAATTATTAAATTAAAAAAAAAAATACATATTTTTCTTTGACATATATTAATATATATACATATATATTATAAATATTTGCACATGTATACCTTAAAGTAAATATAATAAAGAATCTAAAATAACTATAGAGTTTCATCCGTTATATACACATGTATATGCATGTATTGCAGTACAGTTGAGAAAATAAATTTTAAATTAACTTGCAAATTTTAGAGTATTTGAGCATGTAATCATGATTATACATTGTATTATATAACAAGATAATCTTTTAAAGTAGATAACTGTTATATTCAATTACGCATATTTATAATTTACATACATGACGATACATAGTATAATATAATAATATCTCGTGATAATAATAACAATAATAATAATAATAGTAGTAGTAGTGGTAGTGGTAGCTGTAATCAAGTATTCACTATGAATTAATATTGACGCATTAGTTGAACTTCCAGAAATAATAACAAGTTACAATTTTAGTAGAAATAGCTACTAAGGGAGAAATAATAATAAACTGTAATAATTTCATACAATTCTCTATTGTTATCCAATATTGCACTTTCATTAATGTCATTTGTCTTGCAGAAGCATATAGATAACTATCTTCATTTTTAGTACAACTTTTTTTGATCTTGCTAATATAACTTAAGGTCAAAGAGAAATATTAGTTATGACCAAATATATATATATATATTTAATAGTGTTAATGAAATATATAACGTTTTTAGATTTATAGATTATGAAGGAATATTTATAAATAAGATGAAACCATTTTCTTTAATATTGTTTGTTTGATTACCTCAAATACAGAATTATGTAAAGGGTAGTTAACTCTTCCTTATTTTGATAATCGTCGAATTACTATAAAAACTTACTTGATGTCAGTGTTGTATTCTAGCTATAGTTACAGCAGTAGATATTATTGATACATTTATATGCGATCTAGTCCTTATGTGTAGACATATTATTCAAACATAAGCATCAATATATGTATTATGAAGCTTTCTTTAAATAATATTATAAGGCTCATCATCACTCGTTATTGCACAAGTGTTCCCGGATCAAAATATACAGGAACAATAATTATTGGAGCAGTATTTAACTGGATCAAGCTCTATTCGAATATCTTTAGTTAACTAGAAGATTAAAGATAATATATATATATATATATTTGTCATTCTATTAAATCGATGTGTATATCAGAAACTAAGCCTTGATTCGTCCTTTTGATTACATCTATAGCGTAACTCAGTAAAACACGCTTTAAATAATAATACTGTTTGAAATTACATAGAAATACTCTTTCAAATTTCTGAATGAAACAATAGTTAGAATTAGTTCTTTTTTGAAATCATATTTAAATAGTCAGTATTGGATTAATCACTTAGTCTTTCTCTCTCTCTCTTTTTTATTTTTTTATTTTTTATTTTTTTTATATTGTGTCTTTATCTTTATTGATGGGGATATATCATCAATCATATCAAAAGACTTGAAATACCTCTGCTTTTAATAAATAAAATGAAAATACTATTTCTATATTTGTTTCAACTTTGTTAGCAATGGTTATATATTCCGTAAAATTAGCGTATTGCTTGGATTGTCTCTATTCATAAAAAAATGCCCATCAATTGACTCTACAAATTATAGACCGGTTAGTTTCACGTTAATTTTTCAAAAAAAAATTCTTGAAAAGTACATGTAATCTTATCTTGTGGCAAACAGTTCCATGCTAGATATTTCACAAGGGAGAATTCATAAAACTTGATCTTTTCCTGATCAAGCTCTGCGTTTAGTAGAAATAAGTCATATTTTTAGACATAAACATAACATCTATCTAACATTAGCTTTTTTTTTCGATATTAAATCCATATATGATATCATGGATCAAAAATATATATGGCAAACACTACAAAATTATTTATCTGTTTCTCTTCTTAATATGCTTCATAGTTCATTCGATGACGTTCAAGTTGTAGTACTTTTTAAAAATACAACATTATTTAGTTTTCCTATAAATACTGGAGTATTACAGGATTCTATTTACTCACCTTTATTATTATTATTTTTATAATAATAATCTAAATAATATATTAAAGCTATTGCAAGTGTTCATTGATGACCACTAGAATAACCCAGTGCAACTGGCTCTTAACTTACTCTGCTTACTTTATGCCGCTAATGTAATCTTTATAGCGACTTTCTCCTTATTTTAGTCTTTATTTATTTTTTAGAATGTAAATGACACCCACAGAAATATATTGTTCTTGCCCGAAAATTTTGTCCCAACGTTACACTCTATATAATATATTATTACCTGAGTATAAACACTTTTCGTAACTTGGAATATCTGATAAGCACTGTGAGTTTTTAAATCTGTATACACTTGTCCAAAATAATGTTGATAAGTCTTAGTCTACAATAAACTAAATTGCTTCGTTCAGCATCAACAAATCGGAAATTGACAGACTACTAGTTTTCTGTTTCTATAAAAAAATTAGCCGCTCACAGATAGAGTATGGCTCAACCATTGACACATTTAACTCCAAAATTATAGAATCTATTGAATACTATCAAAATAGCTGCCTTATGTATATATTTGATAGATATTCCTCATATTACAATATGATCAAACTGCATCTTACTAAATTGTCTACTATACAAGATCGTATACACCTACTATAAGCTCAATTTGTTGCTTTAAAACTTATGCTCTTCCCAAAGATGCATTACTTACGAGACAGACACCTTATCTTTAATAACCTAGAAGTCACTCACAATAATATTGCCTTTATCAAATGCGTTTCTTAAATGACATATACTTCTTATTGAGTGTTTTGACATAAGTCTTTTCGTAAATATTTCGCTTTACCTTCCTAAATGAAATACATTCCAAACGTTAATCTGTCTGCAACACTTTCTAATTAAAGTCAATATCTCCGCTGGTTACCTCATGGTTCTCCGTCATATTGCATTTTTCTGATTACTGTTTAATAGATCTCATTCAATATATTATCTCCCTAAGTGCTACAAATTACAAATATTACAAGCAATTAAAGATACCCCTTCCCTTTTCCTTAATAAGTTTCCATCCTGACTATATTGAATCACAATACCAACTTCTCTATGGTTTGCACAATGGTATTCTGTATGTTCTATATTACACAAGATAGCTTGACTTCCATTCTCCACCTTTTCACTATCCACACTCATTTCTGAATCCCCTTACTAGCACTATAATTCAGTTGGTCTTTAACTCTTGCCTTTCGTCCTAAAAGGGTTTTTAGTTGCTTTTTATCATTTTTTGAACTGACTAGAATAGTTCAGAAATTCTAGAAGCCATTTACCCATTGGCCAGTTTATTTTTATTTTATTTATCTGTTTTTTTTTTATACCTTGACTGATGCTCGATTTTTTTTATTTGTGCTTAGTTTAAATTTTAAAGCGTACCAAAGGAAAAAAAAAAAAAAGTAAATAGATGTGGTCATAATATTGCCCACAAAAATACACTTTTTTTTTTTTTTTTTTTTTTTTTTTTTTAATAATTAATCAACAATGTCAAATAATTATACCCAATTGACATCAAAAAAGTCGTACAATATATCAGAAGCAAAACTAAAAAGAATATTGGAATATAATGAGCGTTTAAAAGAACAACTTGACTTACCACGTATTCCAGTTTCAGAAGCTGCTTCAAGGTATAATATAAAGCATGGGATTAATTATGATTAACATCTTATATATAGTTTAGTTGATTATTGTACAACAACAAGAGATCCACTTTTACCATTAACATGGGGTCCAGTTAGTAAAGACGAAGATCCATTTGCGCCGGCCGCAAAGGGAAACAGAGGAACTAGTGGTTGTTGCAATTTGATGTAAAAAAAAAAAAAAGAAAAAGAAAAAGAAAAAAGGAAAAGAAAATGGGATCTTTTTTTATTACTATTATTATTACTTCATTCGATACATCATCACATGTATAAGTTTATCTATAATGTCCTCAACACATATGAACAAGTTTATATGCAGTACACTTTTATAACTACCTTATTAATGCTTATGCATATACGCATACTTGGTATATTATTTGTATACAACAACATAATTAATTGTAAATAATGATAATATAATAACTATAATATTTTAATTATTACTTAATGTAGTGTACAGTTTTTTTATATCATTAGCGCTACTCTTATTGCGTATTTCTGTTTTATTATAATATTTCTAGTAAAAAGCATTTTTATATGAATACATTTTAATATCTTGTATATTAAATTACTACTATATTTACAGTAGAGTACTAGTAGAGTTATATTGCATTTAATTTTCTCCATTGTATTACTTTGCTATAACGATACGAATATGTATATATGTGTAAAATAATAGTTAAGAAAAAGTAATAGTGGATAATAGGGGCCAGGATATAATAGGTTGGTGAATAAAATTGATCTTTATCACTTGCAAACGCTCATAATACAGAAAGCATGCTTAGTTTCATACCGTGTTTCTAAAAAACATATAAAGTTTAATACAAATTATATCAATCTAGCTTACTCAATTTACAAAGTATATCTCCATAATATTAGAAAATAAAGAGTAATAAAAAATACTACAAAAATATAAATATACCAAATATACATACACAAATAAATGTATATGTATATTTGAAACAAAAGAGCTTTGTTAAATTACGGACGTGCTAGACATTAGAAATTTCTAATATGTATTTTTTTTTTTCAATCGCATTTATTAGCACAATCTTTATTACAAGATCGTACCGTAGTGCTCAATAGTCTTCAACTGTTCAAGCTTTGGCATGTTATATACAATATTTTTTTAATACAAGTCCATATTCAATATCTAAGAGGGATTTGTAGATAATATTTGCCTATTTATTTCATATCTAAATACCTAAATTTACAATGATGCTGACTTGGTAGTCTAATCTTGCCTGCTCATACCTTGAATCATGAAGATAATATAGATAAGATCTTATTCTATATCAGCATTCCTTATATTAAGGATAGCCTGCAACTGATATTTTAATACGTCTACCTCCTATCTACGGCCCATCATATTTGCTACAAAACGTAAAGATTTTATACAACTTATTAATAATGATTTTAAACCTCTTTTATATATATATCTATTTGATGTTTTACCTACCCGTAGTGTTCAATCGGCCGAACTCTATATTACCACTCTCCTATTATTGAATCTCTCTTCTATTTTGACTCCTTCAAATCTTTTCTCACCCTTGGTTTCTGGTCAAACCATTTTTTTTCTCAAAAATATTTTCCTTCTAGCAATTGGCAACACATTATCTTTTCAGATTTTTGTTTGCACGACACCATATTCCAGTAAACTTTGTCGTGAGGCAAAATTCTTAACCCTTTTATGAAAACTTTGTATTGCTCTTTTCAACCAGCAAGTCGTATTCGTATTCAACCTTTGTTATTTGAATCTGCTTGAATAACTAATATCCAATACTGGGGTTGATAGATCTAACACTGATTTTATCTCCTCTTTATATTCACTTTTTTTCAGGATATGTTAGAGCTTAATCTTCATCTTTGGTTAAAACTATCCTCTATCATCTTTACATTGACGGTTCTTCTGATCGACATTGCTAACACTGACAAGTTATATAATATAGTTCGGGCATTCATTCCATCATAAGTTCTCGACTAAGAAGCTGCCATTTTTTTTCTCCTGCCGGAAGCTTAAATAAAATATCTGAAATCCGATGAATTTTCCCCACAAAAAAAAAAAAAAAAAAAAAAAAGTACAATTGGTCTAATAAATTATGTCGTCCGGACCAAACAAAATGTCGCTTCACCAGAAGTAAAATTTCGTTCGTACAGCAATAAAATGTCGCCTAATCAGAAATAACATGTCGTATTCAAATACGAACAAAAGTACGCTCTTCTCAGAGATTAATATTAGCACACGACCTGCACAAAAACATCTGATAACATTAAATACGATAAAAAAAGTTTAGTGGAAGGACCTAGAATGTACGGATATATTTCCTGCAAAGATTAACTATTTGTTTTTTTTTCAACGGTTTGTTTTTCATATAAGAGGAATGGTCTGTTAAAGTTTCAAGAACAATATTAGGATCGCCGATAATTGATATAAGAACCTCCATCGGATTATACGTTAATTGACCCTCTTCATTATAAATTTTGTATTGTCCATCTCTGTAAAAAAAAAGGAGTTTTTCATCTTAAAAAGGCTGTGATATATAATAAGTTAATTAAAAGGTTTTTCCTATAAAAAGCGGCATTTTATTGCTGTACGAACGAAATTTTATTTTTAATTGCGCTGTATTGTTGAAGAATAACTGACACTTTCAACAGAAGAAGCTAGTGCATTGTGGGAAATTCCTTGATCCGATTATGAGATACACTGAGAGACAGTAGTTCTAGCTCTGATGAAGAACAGGACGGTGCCGTCCAGAACCTCTTGAATAATTTTGATAATATCCATGATAGTCTCAGTAGGCAGAGGTGGTTTGTTAATGTTGTAAAAAGTTTTGATATGGTCAATGGCGGCTATCAAGCTGTGTACGTCCAAAAAAAAAAAAAAAAAAAAAAAAGGAAGAAGGTCATCAGGGTATTTGTTTGATGACAAAAGCAGTATCGAAGTACAAGACAAGGCATAGTGAATGTGGTCTTCAAGAGAGAGTTCCATTTTTGTGTTTGTAAGGATTGTTGTAGTTTATAAAAGGCATTGTTGCATGGCAGACACATCGAGACCAATAATTCGGCATCGTCTTTGGAAAGCCATCTGCTACTAGGTAATTCACATTCATTATCACTGTTTTCTTGCGTGAGCTGATCATTGCCACCTTTTTGCCTTGACTGTAACGGCATGGCTTGAGGATGGTTATTAAACTTATGTTGAAATTTGGAATTATATTTGTGAATAAATATGTGTTAGGGTAGTATAAAGTGATATTTGCGATTCACACTATAGCACTATGATTTGGTAAGATGAAATGTGAAGAAGAATGAAACAAATGATACAGGCAAAAAATAAATCGTGATGTATAGTTGCTATAATGTAACGCAACTGCGTTCACCAAAAATGAAGTTGTAGAGTTATATGGAAAAATTAAGAAATATTTTGCATACTTATAGAACTCAATGCTTAAATGTTGGTAAATAAAAAAAATGTGTATATATTTATTGTTATTCTTTCTCAGAGTTTCAACAGACTTCTTAGATGCTGATAGAGAACTGGCATTTTTACCATTATTGATATAAAGTTATGCATCAGTTACATAAGTTCTGCTATCATTGAAAAAAATGAATGATTATGGTCTTCAATAGATATCCCATGATATTGTTTGGTAAATTGGAACTTGATTATTAAAGATTGTATATTACGTGTACTGTGTATAAAATATTGTTATAACTTTAGACATATATAAGTGAAGCCGAATCTATATTTTTATAAAATTTATTATAGCAACTTCAATAGTGATAAAAAGATTAAATCTTCTCTCACTTTCTAAAGTTCTTATAATTATTCATTCACAAGAATTAAATATAACGGTCATTTAATATTATCTATTATAATCTATTTGTTACTATTCGGGTTTTATATAAACAGATAAAAATTCCTTTAACAGCAGAATAGTAGTAAGAAACAATGTGCTATATCATATAGAAAATAATTACTGGCTGAAGAACATAAAAGTAGTGTATTTCTAGCTCTGCTACTATATATCTAATAAATATATTTTGTCACATATTCGGTTTTCAATTATATCGATACTTGCTTTCTTATGAATAAGAGTCTATAGCACAAGCTCTAATATGTGGTGTATGTAGATTATACATTTATGGAAATTTTTGAAACTTCTCCGCATTTTATATTTTGGTGATGCAATTGTCAGTACCTTTACCCTTGGGTAATCGCTGAGAAAGAAATAAACTATACCTCTCTCTCTCTTTCTTTCATTTTTTTTCTTTTCTTTTTTTTTTTTTTTGACTTATTTATTTACAACATGGCTGAAGGACTTAAAGTAGATCCTGCGATTGAACGTTGGGCTCATCTTCGAGAAAATACACATCTTTACTTTGGTTGGAATAAAAGAACTACAAGACAAACTTTATTGTGGTGTCTTGCTGTTCCCGTTGGTCTTACTATTTTGGCTTACAGCACAGATGTAAAAAATATTTCTTACAAATAGAATTGACCGTTTAATTAACTCCTTTCTCTTTTATAGCGTAAATGGAATTTCGCTGCTGCCCAGACTTCTGAAGACTTAACACCTAAAAAGAATTAATTATTATTTATAACTCAAGCCAAGACAATAAATCCTTATTATATTTCGTATATTTGTAATATGTATATATTTTATACTTCAACAATATTATGTATAGAAATGGTAGCTATTATAATAAGAACATATGTGTATATACATGTATATGTTAAATAGAGAAAAAAAAAAGGTATTATATATTTTTATTATTTTATCCAATATAACTACAGCGCATCAAAATTTATGATATGCAGTGCTTTCCTTCTTTCCATTTCATCTTCTCTCTTTTCTACAATACGAAGTACAACAACTACAATACCTAGTATAATAGAGGCAGCTACTAAAACAGCTAATACCCAAGGCACATAATCAGCGGGTTTGATATATAATTCGACTTTCCAAGATGAACTATCTTGGATATGATCTGGCTGATAAGGTAAAAAGACTAGTTGTGAATTAGGAATTACACCTTCGTAAAAAAAGTAATTTTTATGCTGATGGCGAGAAACGCCTGCAAATAGTTCTTCAACATAATTATTAGTTCTTCCTAGTCCAAATAAACAATATGGCGTCAATAATGACATATAAGCTGATTGAGATAGTTGAGAAACTTGATGGGATCGTTTTACACCTGATGTATCTAGAACTGTAAATTTTAATGATGCACCAGGATAGCTTACTCCATAAGCTGTTAAATCTTCAGCTCCATTCGAAACTGAATTTTTTTATATAGATGAGTAAAATAAGAATATTTAAATAAGTATCTTTTACCTAACCCTTTCAAAAAGAAGGCGTCATTGAAGTAATTATTGACAATAAAATTTGGTAGTCGCCCCGCATCTTTGCCTTGTATATTTTGTAAAACTAAGATATCCAATGTTCCCTAAATATATAAATAGATATATAAATATATGTATATACATAATTAATGTTAATGTCTTGGATTTTATTTTGTTTATACGATACATCTTCATCAATATCAAAGAATGTAGCTTGACTAGGATTAGATAATTGATTCAAAATTTCAGCTCCTGTAGTAACAACTTCAAAGGACCTTCTACTTGAGGCCTTAGCATTGCTTGTACATAATTCTAAAGTGCATAAGACTGATTTCAATAGAATTACTCTCTCCGTTGTAGTAACTAAAACATCAGGATAACCATCTAAATTATAGTCACCTATATGAATAGGGACAGGCAGCTTTCCACGAAAACCACCATTGTCATTCGTCAAAATTATTTCTCCAGCATCAAGTAAGACACTATCAAGATCAAAGACAACATAATTTTCGCTATTAGGTCTAGTGAAATCAAATTTAAAGTTGTGATCTGCAACACACAGATTTTGTGCTTTTCGGCACAATTTATCATTTTGATTCTGACATAGTCCAATTTGCTGATTATAGACTACATGGATTGTACAAATATCATTTTTGCATACAGGGAAAACAATATCAATTGAGCCATCTCCATCTATATCACCAAAACTAAGTGGTCCTGCTCCTGTAGGTAATTGAGCCTCTTGATGTAATACGAATCCCTGCTGTCGATCGTTAGTCCAGATTTGTAATGACTGTGTACCACTCATCTTTGTGCAAACAAATATCAAGTCTATACATTTATAATCATCAGTTTTATATACATATAAATAAATATATAAACTTAATAAATCTTATTTCTAACTTGCCAGCTAGACAATCCCCATTTAAATCGACAAAAGCATTTGAATGAGGATTAGCCCAAACACATTTATCTGTAACTTTTTCATCGAAAAATGGTGATGCTGAGGTTCTAGTTTAATACATGTAAATAATTAGAAGCTTAAATTACCTAACGCACTTACAAGTTATATAATGAAGTTGTATCATTTGACATGGTTGAAGCTTCATTTATCCAAACGCTTAACTTGTTTGTATTTTCTGCATATCCTAAAATATCTGTCTTCATATCTCCATTCACATCTAAAACAATAGGTAAAGCATTATACGCAGAAGGTAGCTTAATTGCCTCTTGCTCTAATTTTTAAACTGCATTAATTCTCACAAATGCCTTTTTTTTTTTCTTTCTTTCTTTCGTAAATGCAAATACCAAAAGTATCATTGCCGTTGCCTATATAGATTTGCATTTTAATTTCATGAGTTGGATTATTTTCTGGATTTTGTTCCCCCATTAACAAAACATCTAGTTTTCCATCGTAATTATAATCTCCAGGAACAACATTAGTTATGATAAACCCAGGTTGTATTGAGCTAGCTGTAGGTAATCTCTTAAACGTAAATTCCTCTATAAATCGAAAATAAGAAAATGGTTAACTTTCTTTTTTTTTCCCTTTTTATTAAAAAAAAAAGACGTACGATGATTCCAAAGAAAGATAGATACAGATGTTTGATCAGCACTTAATACAAATAAGTCTGTACTATAAAAGAAAACAAATCAATAAAAGAAAAATAATAAGTGTAATTCCATCAATTTACAATTTGTCGCCATTAAAGTCACCAAAAGCAGCAACAGTGCCGTCAATGTTGTCTAATCCAATTGTTTGTGGCTCTAGATTGTAAAGCTTATTTTTTGGAAATCGTGTACCATAATTAAAAAATTGCCCTAGAACTGATAATGGTAATAATAATAAACTGCAAAGAACAATTTTCATTTTCGCAAAGAGGCAAAAACGTATTGTGCAGTGAAGCAGGAATAATAATAATAAAAAAAAAAAATAATAATATTTTCCGACAATAGATATTCTGATTGACACCAAAATTTTATCCTAATCGTTTTATATTTTTATTTTTTTTTGTTTTATTTGATTCATAATGCGTATTTGCTATTATGATCTCCTCGGCATAGAACGTCAGGCTTCCGCGTTAGATATCAAAAAAGCGTACAGAAAACAAGCATTAATTTGGCATCCTGGTACGTATTTGTCCAAGTTGTTTCTGGCATTTATTTACTGTGCCACAATTTAGATAAAAATGGTGATAGAATCCAAGAAGCTACTGAACGATTTGCATTAATCCAAGAGGCTTATGAAGTATTATCTGATCCTCAAGAAAGAGCTTGGTAGATTAATTATAAATTAGTTTTGTTTTTTTTTCTTTTATTTATATTAATAATCTGTAAATAGGTATGATGGTCATCGTGATTCTATTTTAAGAGGCGATGATTATAAAGGACAAAAAGATAGTAGTGCAGGAACAACGTCGGAGGATTTAATGCGTTATTTCAGTGTCTCTGAATTTAAAGGATATGAAGACACACCCAAGGTATTGACTAAATTAAATATGAATCAGCACATTATTTATTCAAAATAGGGTTTTTATAATGTTTACCGAAATTTATTTCAAAAATTGGCAATGGAAGAAGAAGAAGCATTTCGCAATAATCCTCCCGAAGATGATATTCATTCCGCTACAGATTATCCATCTTTTGGTAATGCGAATACACCATTTGCAGACAACGATGGCTATTTAGGATATGGCGCCTATATAAAGGACTTTTATGGTGCTTGGTGTAATTTTAGTACTTTTAAATCTTTTGTTTGGATGGATAAATGGCGTTTGTCAGAAGCACCAAGTCGTTATGTACGAAGACAAATGGAAAAGGAAAACAAAAAGGCCAGAGAGACAGCTAGAAAAGAATACAATGATACAGTTCGTGTAAGTTTTGTAATGTATATAATAATTATAATTAGTAAATAACCGTGTACCTTGTATAGAGTCTTGCTGAATTTGTTCGTAAACGTGATCCTCGTGTAAAAGCATATTTGAATGAAGAACAAAAGAGAAAGGAAGCGGCAGCAGCAGAACAGAAAGCAAGAATGTTGCGTGAAAAGCAAGAGATGCAGGCAAAAATAGCTGAATATCAAGTACCTGAATGGGCTAAAGTAGATGAAGAAGAGGATGGCATGTTCAATGATGAGGAAGTTGATGAAGATGATGACGATGAAATAAAAGAGTTTTACTGTGTTGTATGTGATAAAGCATATAAGAGTGAACGTCAATTTATAAGTCATGAAAGCAGTAAACGTCATATCGAGAATGTAGAGATATTACGACAAGAAATGCTTGCTGATGAAGAACAATTTGATTTTGGTAGCAATGAACCATCTGTGATGACGGAAGAGGATATCAGTGTTCCTCAAGAAATTAAAGAACAAGATGAAGTATTAGTCACAGCACAATTTGAGGATTTAAATTTACAACAAGATAAAAAGAAGAAGAAAAAGAATAAAACTAAAAAGATGACACCTCGTTGGGGATTTGATGAAGTGTCACCAGATACTAATGCTGAAGATGAGATAAGTATGTTAGCGGCTGCTTTAGAAGAAGAACAAAGATCTAGGAGGAGAAGACAAGGAAATAGTAACACTCATAGTAGAAATATGTCACCTAGTAATATAATACAAGAACAAATTCCTAATTCTACTACACCTACACCTGATTCAGAACCAGCAGTAGAAAAACAAAGTGCAAAAACAAAACGAGAAAAACGTAGAGAAAAAAAGAAGTTAAAAGAAGAAACAGTTGCTGAAGTAAAATATAAAATATGTTACATGCTAAAATCCTATCAAAGCCTCTAATATTTTTTATTTTTTTATTTTTTAGCATTCATGCAATGTTTGTATGGAACGTTTTGAGACCAGAAATCAGTTATTTAATCATATAAAGGAAACCGGACATGCATTAGCTGTGCCAGGAAGAGGAGATAAAAAGGGAAATAAAAGACGTTAAGATAGTTATATAATACATACATACATTATTGTAGAATAAATTTATATATTTATATATTTATAAGAATACAGATGCATCTTCAAATAAGACTTTAGGCCTTAATGGCCA